TGTTTGATAAAATCTTCGACTATTAATAGTCTGGTTAACTAATTTATTAAACAAGTATTAAATTCAAACTGTAAAATGAATAATAAATCACGCAATAACTTTCTAAAAAAGAAAAAAAAAAAAAATATTTTGTATGTATACGATAATATTCGTATATAAAAAATATTCTTATGTCTCTGTTTCTTTTCGTCATTAATTAAATTGACAGAAGAAATATGAGAATAGCCGAGTATTTACTCAATAAGAAGTTTTGCGAACGTCTTATATTAACATATTTTTAGGTCGGTAACGAATGCAAAACACATACAAAAAATAAAAGTAGGTGCAGTTAAAAGTCAATACTCAAACGTATTTCACTGATTTTTTTTTCTTCTTTACTGTTCTGCATATTTTTGACGAATGCGTGTGGCAATAGAAAACCAACATATCAATAGTTGAATTTAAAGATTAAGAAAGCAACAAGTGGCTGTTTCTTTTTGTTTACAGAATAAGTAATCAAGTAGTAAAAAAAAGAGAATAACAGAAGAAGAAAAAAAGACGAAAGTCATCATATTAAATTACAAAAAAAAAAGATGCACGAAAGTTCTAATGGATTCATGGGTAACCATGATGAAGTAAGGTTTTTTTTTTAAGGATAATCATTTCATTTTTTTTTAATTAATTCTATATAATTAAATAGCAAGCACGTTCTTATACTGGTATCAATAGTGTTATTCTATCACAACAAGCAAGTCGATTTTGGATACCTTTTGATGTTAAACTATTTGAAAGTAAATTTCTAGGTTTTTTTTATATTGATGATTATATAAGAAATAAAATTCTTTTCATAGCACTTACGCCAAAAGATTATTTGGAAAAATATTGTCGAGTGAATAATCGTCGGCATACATTGTACAAACGTGTTTTTGACAAGCATAAAGACAGTGAAGGAGAACTAAGTATTAAGGTAAAAAGAAAAAAACGAACAAACAACTGTTACAAGATTTTATAACATAAAGAGCAAAAGTATATTATATAACTAATTTCATATTTTGATAAATTCTTAAATATTTATGATAATTTTTTTTTAATTTTTTTGTATTATTTTAAAAGAATATTTATGAAAATGTTTAGGCTCTTCCAGATGCTTTATCTGATGCATATATGCGTACAATTGATTCTCATTTTGTTACACAAGTAATTGGTCTTCTTGATTTACCATCAAATGCAAAAATTACCTTTACACAATTTGAAGGTATAGCTGCATTTTCTGAACGATATTTTTTTAATATTTTTACGTAAGTTTTATTTTATTTTATTTTATTTTTACATATTAATATTTTGTTTTTATTTAATCAGTGGACAAGATAATATGGAACCACAATTACAAAAGGAAATTTTAGAAAAACTTGATTTTTCTTCATTAAAGTGGAAATTAGTTGGTGTAAATATTTCATCATCCTTGCGACAAATTCTACGACTTCTTTAAACTTGACGCTTTCTTTTTTTCTTTTATTTTGTAATAATAAATAAAAATAAACAATGTTTTAAGAAATTGACATTCTTGTCAAATAATAATCTTCAACTGAATATAGTAGCTGTAGTAAATAGAAGAAAAAAAGCTCCTATAACAAATAGTCTTGTTGTCATGTAGGACAGATCAAAATTTCTGATAAATATTGTTGTCAAATTTATAAAATAATTAGCATCAAAGAGTTTATTGCATCAATCAATAGTAGAATGGCGACACCGAAAGCTGAGTCTAACAAAAAACAAATTAAAGGAATATAAGAAAATAATTTTATTTGACTAAGTCAACATTCATATAAAAAAAGCCTTCGATTTAAATTGAATCGAAATTATTTCTGCAGGATTTAGTTCATGAATATGATCTGCTACTTTAGCACATATTTTTACTATTGAAATACGTAAAACTCGCACAATTATTTTTATAAGAATGCTAAATTGATTGAGATTTATTGATGTGTCAATAATAAAAACCAATCGAGTAAAATTTGATCCTTATGTTTTTTTAAAGTTTATAATTAACATTGTTTAACAATAGTGAAGACTGAAAAAACAAAGATGTATATATATATAATTAATTGAACTCTTATTCATCTCTGTAAAGGTAATTTTTTTAGTCATGGAACTAAGTATCCACAAATCATCAACATCAGAAGATTTCGTCATTAGTCAACGTTTTTCACAGCTTCTTATTTTTCTTAATTGATCAGTGAGGATTCTTTTTAATCTTGAAGTATAGGTGAGATGCTTGTCAACAGCAAAGAAATAAGCTTCTTGCTTGAAGCTCAAGATGCAAAAAAATCTATAATGATCAATCAAGATATTAGGAACCTGGAAGGAATTACAAGAGATCTAACTTTTCCTGAAGTTCAGACAAGCTTCTTTTTTTTTCGATTAAAAGATTCTTATTTGACTCTGAACACAAATAGCACGTGATGTTTATGTACCCACATTCATATGTATTATAAACGAACATCTGAACGTTAGTTACTAATTTTCAGGCAATGACAATTAATATTTATTGTGTTGCATTTAATGAAGAGGAATCATACAATTAAACAACGACAATTCTATCAAGATGAAGAATATTAATAATAATTGAATGTTTATTAGTTTCAAGTGATAATGATAAAGACGACGAACTATAAAAGGTACGTATTCTTAATGTAGATAGATTTCTTCAATTATTTGTTTTTCCTTGTTTTTTTTAATAATGAATTTATTAGATTTGTATTTTGTTCATTTGGTTTATCATTGTAAATGTTCTCTATCTTCTCTCTCTACATATTATGTGAACTGGAATGTAGTTTTTCTTTTACACTTAGCTTTTTACTTTTTCGTGTATATTACTGCAAGCTTATATTAAATATAGAACAGCGACGACCGAATATAATTATGTTAACGTTTACAGTGGCTATGCCTAAATCACAAGGATCAGACAGGAGTATTGAAGAAACAAAAAAAAACAAGATTCAAGCAAGAATTAAAAAACAAAACAACTAAACGAGAATTCCGGAATACATGAACTTTACGAGCACAGTTGGTCTCATCTAATTAGTCAAGACTTTGTCTACGTAAACGTTGCTAGAAAGTCAAGATCTATTCTTTGCCCAGACAAGAATCTTACGTTGAAATGAATGTAAAAAGAACCTTGACTGACAGATAGGAAAAAACAAGAATGTCGAAAAAATAATGACAACAACGTCGATTAGTGAAAGATTATAGTTTGACATGTGAGTCTGATGCACAATAGTCTTTTTTTAAACTGTGTTTATTTATGTTCTACTTCGACTAATCATTATAAACTATAAATGTTCATGATATGTTTACAAACAGACGATCAAATTAATTACATATTGAGTTTCTGTTATATCATGTAATAAGATCCAGTATTTTATCAGAAGTTCTAATAATTATTAACAGTCGATGTCAAAGAATTTATGATCATTTTTTTTATATTGATGCAGAAGAAGAATATAAAAAAAGACTTGTAGCATTGATAGAATTCAACGTACATCCAGGTCGAATTACAAACAGATTTTTTAGATTCACAAAGATAATACCAGTCGAAAAAATGAATCATTCAAAGTTTACATGAGAGTTTCTGTATCAAACATTGGACTATGTTTCACGTATTTAAATCCATTGTTAGTGTATTAGAATCATAATTTTGTGCTCTTTCAAAATATATATGCTTAGAGTTTTTTCTTCGACTCTTGACTATTGAGCTATAAGTAAATCTTGAAATGAATCAAACATTTTTTTTTAGGGGAAACAAATCTCGAATGGAACTTGCTTGAGATGTACCACAATATTTTATTGAATAAATTCGACGATAGAGAAAATAATTGTCTACTAAAAAGAATATTTGAATAAAATTTTTTACAAATTGTTGAGGTACTGTAAAGGCTTCTATAAAGTCTATCGCAAGAAAAATAACTATTTCTTCGATTTTTACCTTTTCAACGCAAAATGACTTTCCATAAAAAATCTTTCATTTTTTTTTTATGGATAAATCAAAACTCTTTATTTTTGCGTCGTTTTTGTGGAATAAAGATCACCCTCAAGTAATAGATATTTGAAGTACTTATTTGATGTCTACTGGAAGCAGAATTGTCTTCAGAAAAATAAGATTTATTCTTTAGCTCAATAGTTAAAAGTGACAGAAAAATTCTAATAATATATTCTGAAAGAGTACAAAATTCTTATTCTAACACAATATCAATGCATTTAAATACGCGAAAAATACTGAAATATTTTCTCTATAGAATTTCGACTCATTCTCTTATACATATATGTTTGATTAAGGATAATTTCATCTTGATATATAAAATAATTTTGTATTCAATTTCTGAATTAATAAATTATCCTCAATTATTTATATTTTAAAGAAAATTAATTTAGGATAAAAATAAATTTTATTAGTTGAGATCATCTCTTATCTCTCAATGTCTTTTTATTTATTAGTAAAGAATTTAGTTTGTAATAGTTATATAATAATTTGATGAATTGAATTTTATTTTTCTTCGATTGAATTCTAATCATTTGACTATAGAATAATTTTTCATGTTCTCATCTACGTATTTGATCATTTTTTGATAATGTCTTATTATCTTTTAATATATCTTTATTGTTCATAAGTCTAGGCTTGTTTTGTTAAATACAACAAGTTTCAATAAATTTCCTCATAAAAACGAATAAATATAAATTTGAATAAGTTAAACAAATGATAATGAATTTAGTGAATATCTTTTTGTTGGATATTGAATTTTCCGATATAAATTGACAATGAAGAAAAACAATTTAACATGTTCAATCATAAAACTCTTGTTAATCAAATCTTTCTACTTTATGACTCATTTATTACAATGTGTCAGTGTTCTTTTTTTTTGTTGACAAAAAAAAAAGAAAGATACGATGAAAAAGATAACTGTTTCAAAGTCAAAACAATAAACATATCTAGGTTGTGAAAAGAAAAAACTAACGTAGTCAATATGCTTGAATCTAGTAGAGATGACACGAGTCTCATACAAGTATCAAGTGTAGATGAACAACAGCGTAATCCTCAAGCAATTCTTCAAACAAGTGCATCAACAATAAGTTGTGAAGGTATTAATTTACCTCGTAATATTCTTGATGTTCTTGATGGTATATATTCAAGTCGAGCTCATCGACGATGTATGGATTTAAGTTATTGTACATTACTTTCAATGACATTAGCAGTTATTTTTTGGGTATCTTATTGGTTAACATATAATCGTTGTCAAAATTTAAAAGATCCTCAATCAAATACATCTCTTTGTAATGTTGTTATTGTTTTTGAAGTATTTATATATATATCAAGTTGTATTTCACCAATTTTATTTATAATAATGATTTATTTTTGGATACAATATTCATGTTATAATCCATTAGATTCAATTCGAGAAAATTATTTTGAATTAAAATTAGAAGGTAATCGATGGAAACAACAATTAGATTATTATTTTTATCAGTATAATACAAAATATTTAAATTGTTGTTATCGGAAACAAGTAAATGAATTAAATAATCGAGGTTATGGTTATATTATTTTATCACGACATGGAATTGTTCTTGATGAATTAATAGTTTTAAGTGCTCGAACTGATATTATTGATAATGGAATTATACTTCATCATGAAAAAATATTGAAATTAACTTTTAAGAAAACATGTAGAAGACCTTGGAAAATTAGTCTTTCAATTTGTTTACCCGAAAATTATGTCGAACAAGGCTATAAGGAAAAACTTATTCAATTATTAAAAATTCAAATTAATGTTGACGATACTCGTTCACTTCGTCATTGAATAATCACGTTTTTCTTTTCTGTCACTGAATTATCGTTGTATTACTTTATTATAAAATAATTATTTCAGTGGTTCTTTTTTTAAACTTCTACGAATAAAATACGCATTTTAACATCATTATATAAGATTATACTTACCACGTTTTTATGTTAATGGATCCTTACATTTCTATAATTTTAATATTCTTTTAAGAGAATTAAAAGAAATTAGCATTCCGTTCAAGTGTATAGATGAGAGAGATATTTAATGATCTCGACAGAAATTTTCAATAAACACATATCATTTTGTCTAAGCATTAAGAGCAGCAGCAACAGCAGCAGCAGCAGCATTCATCTTGTGTGAATAAGTATCTAACCATTAGTTTATACTTCATTGATTTAAGAACATTTTAACCTCGAATGAGTCTTTTCTTTTTTAAGGAAAAAAATGTGATATAAACCTTCAAGCATATATATGAAAGATGTTTTTAAAAGAGTATGAAATTTAATTTCACATGCGTAAAAACATCAAGAATAGTCAAAATATTTGTTAGTAGATCATAATAATTGAAAATCTGACAAGTTCAAAGCCGCCCCAACATTAGAAGATAAAATGATAGAAGAAAATTTTCGAATGTTAATTCAAATCAGAACATAATTATTCATTAAAGTTAAAATTATTGAGTCAATGAGAATAAAACGAAAGAAATGAGAAGTGTCATTTTAAAAAACAAATGATCTTCGCAGTCAGAAGGCTGTTTACGATTGACAGAACATTATGTTTATGGCAAGTTTTTTTTTACTATTATTGCATGAAACTAATGAATTTTCTACTCAAAAATAGCACACTTCAAAGAACATCAAACACTATACTTCGTAAAAATATTTTCTGAAAATTATAGAACCTTTGTTGCTCTTCCGGATGTCATAGTTTAGAAAAAAAAAATAATTAAATAATCAAGAATTATTACGAACATAATATCATTTTTATCATCAAGGTAAAGTCATTCATTCATTCATTTAGATTTTACTCTCAAGACCAGAGGATATTTGTTTATTATTGAGAATAAAAGTTCACAAAAAAAAAATATTTTCAATAGATGAATTTCTTCTTTTTTCTTTTTCTTTAAATTAAAATCAAAGAAGATTCATCTATAGAATTAAGTCATATTTCAACCAATTAGTTCTTCATAAGCAATAAACTTAGTTTTCTTCATTCACTTATTCGCTGTCAAGTATTTTCCTTTTTAGTGTTCATTCCGTTGATACCGACTAAAATAATCTTGTCCTTCTTTTCTCCTCCTTGTTTTTCCTCGATGTTGATATTTTATATGAGTAGTTAATTGAGTTGATTTCAGCTTTTCTTTGGCAAAACTTAGAAGAGAAAGAAAAAAACCTGAATGACAGAAAGCTAATCAATAGATTTTTCTCGTCGTTTTTTTTTCCTATTAAACAGGAGAAAGAAAAAAAGTAAGAAACTAAAGAACTTATCACGAGTACGTCTTAATTTGCATCGGATATGGCTTATAAATCTAGCGAAGGAAAGATGAACTCATTATTTTATTCGTTCTCAGTCATCCGTACTTTCTTTCAGTTACAAATGAAAAACAACAAGAGAAAAAAAAACAAAGTTATGATGATTATCCCTTTTTTGTTAAATTTTATATCGATTATTTATAAAGATTCGTTTTAAAAAAAATATCTTGTTTTAAATTTCAAATAAAACTTTTATTTCTAATTTTTCTCATTACTCGATTATTAGTGTTTTTTTTACATCCGTTAGTTCTTTGTTTTCTTTTTCTATAACGGAAGTTGATTGTATGTCTCGTCTTTCTCGTTCTTCACTCTTTTACTCTAAATATACATATATATATTTAGTTCATTTTCATTGTTTTTTTTTCCGTTTAAATAGTAGCTTCAACAAGTATAAATCAGTGAAATTATTTGACAGATAGAAAAAAAAAACCATGACAAATATAGAGAATACAACGAACATACTTATTCTACAATCCGAATCCGAATCACCGTACAATGCATATGATGATAATAAAGACATTATATGGCCTTCAGTTGTTGGTATTTTCGTAACATTAGCATTAGGTTGGATGATATGTCGTTATAAATGTTCATCAAAAGAACGATCACCACATAGTGTACGATGTTGTCCAAAATCATTATGTAAAAATATTCGATTATGTTTTATGTATATATTTGGGTATTTAACAATAATTTATTGTTTGACTTTTTTTTCTTTTTCTATTAATAGAAAATTAATTTTTATTTAGAATGAAACATGATCAACAACTAGATCTTGATTCACGAATATCAACAAATAATAATAAAACAAGGTAATAAAAATCAAATAAATTAGTTTTTTTGTTTTATTATATTAATATTTCTATTTGTTTTTTTTTTTTGTTGAAAGAACATCTGCCTATAGTTTACAAGAAATTCCATTTCTTATCGATCATTCATTAATGACTCGACCATCTTTATCACAAGTACATCAACAATGGCCACCACCATTTATTCTTAATCAATCACCTTCTTTTCCTTTGTCAATAGCAGTTCAACCAACACCAACAGCATTTCAACCAAAAAGACATCCATTACGTCGTGAATCTACATTAACTGGACTTAATAACGAAAGACGAGAGTCATCTTTGTGGCCATTTCGTACGCTTACTGCAGTATTCCACAGACAAACAAGTGAAATCAAAGAAAACGATCTCTTTCTTAGTTCTTGAATATGTCTTCTTTCCGTGATTCATACTTACGAACGATTTGTTCAAAGTAAATTCATTCATCACTTTTGAACTCATATTTTAGATATTTAGAAATTTTCTTTAAACTAGAACAACTCCAAAAAAAAGTGAGCGCATAGGTTTGCTATACAAATTTACAATAGTTTTGATGGATTTTAACCAAAGGACGAACTATTGTCAAGAAAAATGAATATTGAATGTTGGACCTGAAGTTTAGTCTACAAGTATTTATTATCATTTTATGACTATAGAAAAAAAGTTTCATTCATATGTTGTCGATTTTTTTCTGAATATTGCTGAAATCAGAACTCTTTTTGAATATAATATATTTCGAAATTGAAACAATGATTTTCACAAAAACTTTTCTAATAGTCTTAAATTAATAATAACTACTTATAGACTAAATTTTTATTTTCTTGTAAATACTTCGTCTCTTAATTAAAATTGTTGTAGGTTTATAGAGCAAACCTATACTCTCAAATCGTTTTGAAGTTATTCGAATGTAGAAGTCATTTGTAAATCCCTAAAATATGAATTCAAAAGTTACGAATGATTTTCGGTAATTCCATGTTAGCTGTTGTCTTTTTTTTATTTCATATGAATTTATCTAACTTAATTAACGAAAAATACAATATAGTAAAATATATAAATATTCAAGCAATGAAACAAGCATATAAAGTTAACAACAGTAACAGTTTTCTTAACTCTGAAAATATAATTTTGTGAAATAGTGAATTTCATAATTCTATCACAAATTTGATTTGTTGACAATTTTCTATTTGACTAAATGAAATGTTTATAGTTATCTTTGAATCAAAACTAAAAGTTGATTAATTTGGTTATCAATAAATAAAAGAACAAAATTTATCTTTTCATTTATTTGATAAAAGAAAGATATAAAAATAAATGAATTTTTATAACATCAACGATTTCTTTTTTTTTAAATTATGTCAACAGAAAAAAATGAACATTGACCAAAGTATCAGTGTTTTATTCAGATTTTCTATTCCGGAAGGACAATACAAAACTTTGGATATTCGAAGATTTATTTCTTGGAGCACAGACTCATAGGTTATGATACAATAAAAACAAATTTTCGAAAGGGTCAACTCGATTTTCAGACGAGCATCACCTCCTTGACCTCCAACATGGATAGAACATGGCAAAAAATTGAATTATTTTTATTTAAAAAAAAAGTCAGACGCATATCATAATAGATAATCATGTTTTATTTTTTTTATATTATTCTTTTAAATGAATAATAAAATACAAAACTAGAAACAAAATTCTTTCTTCTTTTGCGATGAATAACAAATTATTAATAGAACTGTGTAAAAGAAATAAGCACATTATTGTAATTCATGATTGACAAACATGTAGTTTATGCTGTGGTGGACTTAAAAGGGGGCACTCAAAGTGATTGATCCTATTTTCCGACAGATTTTTCAGTTTTTCTCAATAGAAAACGCACGACAATGAGTTGATAAGAACTCTAATCTCCTTCAAAACATGTTTTTTGACCACTGTTGCTTCTTCCCCCAAAATCTTCGATCCAACATTGAATCTATAATATGATGAAAAGAAAAAAGGTTGATTCTTTCCAAATAATATAATCAATTGGTAAAGGTTAAAATATATAATTTGCACGTCATTTGGAAGAAAATTTTATGATGTTAACATTATTGAAAAGAGCAATAGAATTTTTTTGTAATATTGAATTTCTTTTTTGATTGGATCAGGTTCAATCAGTACATGATAGTGGTCGCTAGACGATGATAATATTTTGAGCAAATAAATTGTGAGATTTTTTTTCTTAAGATGATTTTGCTTTTCCTAATTCATTTCAAATGAAATGATTATCAATAGATAAATAGAAGATTTTGATTAATCATTTTATTGATTGTTAACAGACCAATTAAATATAGAAGAAAAGTAAATATGACACTCGAAGGATATATGCATTTCTTTCTTTTATTTATTGACATTGAATTTATCGGAATAAAATAATAGGAATTACTAGATCTGATGCATAACTATGAACAATGATAAATGATGATCAAGTAAATAAATCAAATTTATTTATTTTTTCTTCATAATTAAGAAAAAATCTGAATTTTTTATAAAAATATTTTTTTTGATAGCTTCAAATTTGTCTTTATCATCCTCATCAAAATCAATCTCATCGATATACACGTCAAATAATTCGAATAAATAATAAAACAACATGTCGAGAAGTTTTAATACATTATATTCCGGAGCCAAATACAGCTCGACTTGTCGAAACATGTCTTGGATTTGGTATTATATTAGATTTGTTTATTTTGATTTTTTTTTTTCAAAGGACATTTATTTTCTGGAGGGAGGACATAGAAAGAATTGCCTAAGATAAATAAACAATCAGAAAAAATAACCTTGGAATGATTATTTTTTTTTTGAACAGATTTGTAGAAGATAATGTCGAATAAATTTGTTTATTTATCTAGAACGAGAGATTCCACCGGGTGATTGTTTATTCGATGTAATTACTCGCAATCAAGCCATTGAAGAATTCAAAATTGTTGTACGACGTGTACATGGTACGTTAACTGTTCTTTGTTCTTACTGAGAAATAACTTCGATCAACTATTGCATCAAACATAATAGGAACAATAAGTAAAAGCTTTTTCTTTTTCTTTTTTCTTTTTCTTCCCTCAAGTGAGTTCCTGCTCTTCGATTGAACATAGAATTTATTGTTCTTTCTTTTTTTTTTCTCTTCTACATTATTATCGTCGTCATCGAACATAAGACCAGTAGCATTTATGTATGTTCGAAGTGAATGAACGACGAGAAAAGAAATGGGAAGAAAATGTTTGACCCTTCCTATCGTTGTCGTTCTATGTACATTTACCTTGTTCTTCTTCTTCTCTTTTTTGAGACAACAACCATAATCACCATCAGCGACGACGAACAACGATGCGTTCTCCAACTCTAAATAATAATCATTCATCATCACACGATATGAACAATAATCAACAACAACAACAACAACAACAAACTAATGGAAATGGAGTAAATTTTCAAATAATTTTATTTTCTTGTATGTTTCTTTTTTTTTTTTTTTTTTTTTTGTTTTAGTTTGCTATCAGTAGTTTATCAATGGATGTATCATTATCTGAATTACAAGAAATGGCAGCACGACAACAACAACAAATTGAACATAATCAACAATTATTACTTGCACGTGAACAACGTTTAAAATATCTTAAGCAACAAGAATTAAAACAACAACAAACATCACATGATAGTTTACGTCTTAAACGTTTAAAAGAACATATTGAACAACAAGAACTTAAACATTTACGTTTAAAAACTCTTCAAAATCAAATAAATCAACAAAGAAATTCAAATTCAACACTTGGTTTGTTCAAAATTAAAATTAAACAAAACAAAAAAAATGAATTTATTTTTCTTTTATTTTAGCAAATGAATTAGAAATTTTAAAACAAATATTTTTTGATAAAGAACATGAATTAACAGTAGCATTAAATAAAGTTGATGAATTAACAAAACAACTTGATCAATTAAGAAAAATAAAAATAACAACAAATAAAGAACAATCACAAAATAAAAATGAATTAGATAAATTAAAACAAGAATTAATGGTAAAAATTTTTTTATTATTTTGAAAAAAAACAAATTTTTTAGTTTTTTTTTTTTTTGTAGATTCGAAATAAATTAAATGAACAACAAAGTCGAAAAATAGCTTATCAACGTGAAGTTTATGCATCAAAACAAGCTGAATTAAATCAATTAGATCGTCGTATAGAAGAACTTCAACAACGTTTAAAAAAAAAACGTACATTAACATCAAATCGTACAACAATATCAACACCATTAGCAGCAACAACAACAACAGCAGTTGTTGAACCTTTTACATCAACAACTGGTTATCGTACTGCTTTTGATACTATACAAGATACTTTAAATAATGTTAAAATTGCTGAAATTGAAAAACGTATGGTACAATTAGCTAATTCATTTAATGCTACATCATCATCATCACCAACAAATATTAATGAACAAATTAATAATTCAAGTAGTCCTAAAAAGGTTTGTTACATTTTAATTATTTTTTATCGTTAAATTAATTCATTAGAAAATATAAAATTTCATATAACAAATCAATATATATATTTATTTTAATATTTATTCAAATATTAATTATTGATTTTGAGAGAATTTCTACTCTCTAACTTCAATTGAATTGTTTGTTATATACTATGAAGAGATTATATTTAAGTGTTTGAAAAGAAAGTTTAAAAAAAAAACGTACATTGTACTTTTTTGTCATTGAATTATTGAATAAAAAAACATTCGAAAGAGTTTACAGTTTACATACTTCGAAATTTAGTGAATCGAAGTATATTTAAGGAAAAAAAAATTTCAGTCATATTTTCTTTTATTGGTTGGATTACTCAAAGATTGAAGTGAACTTAATCAAATAGATGATTACTACTTCTTTGTTTATATAAAAATCCTAGATTACACAAGCATTTATTTTATTAGAACATATTAAACTAAAATGTTCTTAATCACTTTAATTCATTTAAAAAGAACTTTGAAGAATATTAATTGAAATTACCGGCAGTCAATTAAATCTACTTAACATGTCGTTAAGAGATTGCTCCTCCATTACCGTATGTCTACTAGGACAGTTGACGGAATCATCGCTAGCCATGTGTTGTTGTTGTGCTGTGAATATCGGTATCTCGCTCGGGTTAGTTGCGGTTGATCTTCGGGTACCAGGCTTCAATCGCTTACCAGCCGCTCATATATAAGCTCCTCCATCGCCAGACTTGGCTCCAGGGCATGCACCGGTATCTCACGTCCGGACGAGGTACGAATATTTGTTTTTTTTTTTTTTTTTTTTTGTATACATTATGAGAGATTTACAAATGCCCATTGGCATAACACAAGAAACATCGCAAGAAAATAGACTTAACTGATTTTCTCGCCAGTTGAATAATAAACACTCTATTCGACTGTAAGGCTGTTTGTTAAAACATTTATTTTCTTGATCGATCATTATTAATTATAATTAATAATGAAAATAAATATAAAAGAAATGAAAAGTTAACAATATTTCTATTTTTTTAACAATCGTTAAAATTTGTATTTGGAACAAGGAAATGAAATAAATTTTTTTTATCTTTAGACAAATGGTATATTATCATCAAATCAACAATCTAAAATTGCATTTGCATCAAAAAGTGAAATAGCAGCAACATATATGGCTCGTACATCAAATCAATCAATATCTCCATCATTATTAAATAAAAAAGCGACAGATATAATTGATAATACAAGTAAAAGTGAACAACAATTATTACCACCTAATCTTCGTTTAAATGATGATATACTTTCTGTACATTTTAATAATGTAACATCAACAATAAAAAAACGTCATTCATTATCCGATCCAGCTGATTCATTAATAAAATATCTTTCATCAAATGTTTCATCAAATACAAATAATAATACTATACAATCTCAAGCAATTCAAGTTCGTGATGATTCATCAAATCAATTATTAACTGATACTAAAATTTCACCTGTACCAACAATTGTTGCTTATGAAAATCTTATTGATATACAAACAAATATTAATAAAAAAATTGATGAAGAACAACAAATTCAACGTGAAGAACAACAAATTATGATTGAATCAGTTGTTTCTGATACGGAATCTGAATATGAACATTCAGATAATATTGAATCAGCTATATCATCACCAACAACAATAACAACAACAGTAACAACATCTGCTATGAATCTTAAATCTTTATTAAAAACTTCAACAACACCAAAAAATTTAACAAGACGAGTTATGTTTGATCCATTAGCACTTCTTCTTGATGCTGCTGTTGTTGGAGAACTTGATCTTGTTAGAAAAGCAGCAAAAGAGGTTAATCAAAATTTTGACAAAAAAAAAAAATTTATTTTTTTTCAAAACTCTGAAACTTTTTTTTTCTTTTGTTAAGGTTGAAAATCCAAGTCAACCAAATGATGAAGGTTTAACAGCGTTACATAATGCTGTATGTGCATCAAATTTTGAATGTGTTAAATTTTTGGTTGAATTTGGTTGTGATATTAATTTTGCTGATAATGATGGATGGACACCATTACATTGTGCTGCATCATGTAATAATACACCAATGGTTCAATTTTTAGTTGAACATGGTGCTTGTATTTATGCGACAACTATTCGAGATAATGAAACAGCTGCTGAAAAATGTGAAGAAGAAGAAGAAAATTATGCTACTTGTTCACAATATCTTTTATGTAAGTTATTTACAAATATATAATCAGATAATGTGTATTTAGTTCAAAAAACATATCAAACGAAACTCTTTAAATGATTAACTTAAGAGAGAGAAATTGAATATGTAAGAGATGTATCATCTTTCGCACAGATATTTTTCTTTTTTTGTTTTTATCAAAATAAGAAATGTCAAATGATTTAGAAGAATCGATTCTCTAATATTGATTCATTTATTAGAAACTGTTCAATTAAAATTTGTTTTATATTTTGGAAAAATAAACTTTTGCAACTAATCGTAATATATAACTCTAATACATTGACATGTAGACATGACAAAAAAAACAATAAACTAAGTTTATGATATTTTTTTTTTCAAGTGATCTAGAACTAAATAAATTGTTAGATTAATGTCTTCTCTTCTATTGTAATCAAATATTAAATCTGTTTCGAATAAAATAGATGTTAATTATTCAGATTAGTAAGATACATCATTCTAGTATTGTATATTATTGATCATAATTTTCTACTATATGAATTGTATATTTTTAAGTGCTACAAACAGCATTCACATATGAATCAATTGATCAATTATTTCATAACTTGATTATAGTAAAGCGTCTCTAATGTCGATAGTATCGAGATTACCGAAAAGTACTCATTTTACAGAGATACTCTTTATCGAGAGACTTTTAACTTCTTCTTTTTTTTTTGTAACCTGTAAGTATTCAATTGCAATAGCTTATCGGCTATACAAGATTGAAATGTACAGTATTTGTGTAAATACTGACAGTGACTGATTGATCACATTGACATTTTACATCCGCTGCAACATTGAGACACCAACTCTATCAAAATATGACCTTTTTGTAGCAGTCTGTTATAGTGATTCACCAACCACTGATTCCAGTATGTACTAACTATACTCAGTCGATTACATCACCATCAGTAAATTGAAACTGCACATTGTTAGCGCAAGAGGATCTTTTTCTTTTTTTCCCATATTTTATTAATTCAACATTTTTTCGTCAGAGACAAATCAATACTACTGACATGATTTGATTCTACTAGCTATTAACATAAAAGCGACGAAATGTTACATCAATCATTGTTGCTGTTGTGTAATATTGATTTTTTCTTCTTTTAAATACGCACGATTAGTTCATCCGTTATTATGTGCTTCATGATTGTTTATCATAACTTAATACACATAATATCGTTTTGCTTTTTGGTTCTGCACGTAAGTAATAGAACATATGTTGTTCATATAATAAAGATTGTAATTGTTCATGGAACCAGAAATAAGTGTCCACTATTCAGTATAAAGAAATGTTCATATAGAGAGGTTTTACTATATCTCTTTTTCGAATCGTCAAATCATTTTATTGCTTTTAACTCATTCAATTTCTTTCGTTACTGATATAAAAGTTCAATTATATAAATTCATATTAATTATGATGAGTAAAATAAATTGTAAATCCTAAAAAAAAAAGTCATAAGCCAGTCATAAATTATCAGAAACTTTGATTGAACATGCTGAAAAACGTACAATCATCATTGAAGTAAATAACGATTAGCTATACATTTTATTTATTCAATAAAATGTTTTCATTCTCTTGATAATTTAATATTCATCTGATATTTGAATAATAGACAAAGAAAAACTTTTGTGTAAACAATCCTTTTTTAGTGACAAATTCAAGGCTAAAGAATAGTTATTCTCCTTTTCAACAAATGTTTCTTCAGCAAAAATCAAACATGACTTTCGACTACTTCAGATAAATCTCAAATAATGACTTTTATCTATGATTGTCTCTTCCTATGGAAATTATGCTCCACTCGAAAATTCTAGATCTGTAGCTGCATCCTTTTTTTTTTGACTATGGCTTTACTTAGTTTTTTGAAAAAGAAGCTGTTTGAGAAAGGATTTTCATTTGATAAATTGATAGTATTATGAACAAATTTTTTGTAATTTAGTTGTACAAAATGATTTGGGTGTAATAAATAATGGTTTAGTTTATGGTTTGTATGATTTTGAACCCAGTAATACATCAGATGATCCAAATAATAATGAACTTGCCTTCAAAGATGGCGATCAATTAAGAATATTAAGACGTGGTGATGAAAATGAAAATGAATGGTGGTGGGCTAAACATGAAACGATACAAAAAGAAGGATATGTACCACGAAATTATCTTGGAGTATGTCATAATAGGTTTTTTTTTTAAAATTTTATCTTTATTTCATTTTTATTTAGCTTTATCCAAGAGTACGACCAGGTTCAATGGCTTCAACTAGTTGTTAGCACCTAATATTGCTGTGTTTGTTTTTCTTTGTCTTTTTGTTTCTATAATTCTCAGGATACTTTTTTTTTTTTTGTATAAATATTAATGGATGATGTGCTCATTTTTTTTTTCTAAATATTAGTTGTGACAAACATCATTTTCTTTGTGCATAATTCAATTTTTTTTTGTTTATTTGCTGGTTTGATTGTTTTCTTTTTTACTTCAATCAAAACTCAAATAAAGAAATATTTACGGAAGTTAAGATTTTTAATATTTGCTTTGTCTTTTTTTTTCTCTATAAAATAAATCTTTATAGAAATATTTAAAAAGAAAAAAGTAACAATGAAAAAAGAATTAACAATAAAACAAGATGATTTTTGGCGTTTAATCAATCGAGAACAGTTTCTTTTATCATGCTTTAATGCTCATCTACGATATCGTATACGTATGTATTTCAATTTCTTTTTCTTTTTTTGAAAGTTAATAAAACAAACTAATTCCATTGTTATTCAGCAGCAACAAATAATGAGTATATTTACATCTATGTTAATTGTGATGATAAAACTATCGGTGAACATGCAGAAGTAAGCTTTGAATTTTCTTTTTTTTACAAATAAAATCTGTGTTATATATATGTTTCTTTTTAGCAATATATTTTATCTTATCTTGAACCAAAACATACAAAATCAATTCCCTATCCATTAGATTATAAACAAATATTATGTGATGATGAATTATTAAATCGTTTAATGAAAGAATATTTAGTTCATATTGAAATTGAAGATAAAACTGATTCACCAATGCTTACATTTCGTTCAACAACATTAACTGTTTTATTTTTGGCAATAGATGATTTTCGAAAAACTATATCAAATGTTCTTGCAACAGATAAATCAATTATAATGAATACAGAATCAGTATTAGAATCTTTGTCAAATAATTTTGAAAGTCAATTAACAACAGTTGATGAACAAGATCAATTTGATGAACAAGAAAAAGCTTTATTACCAATTAAAAATAGAATAATAAAAAAAGATAACAATGATATTGAACAACAAGAAGAAAATTTTCTTCCTTCTCCTATTCGACAAGAACCAAAATTAAAAATTGCTTTTCCCGGTGCTGAGTGAGTTACAAATTTAATTCTTGAAATGAAGCGAAACAAAAAAAAAACGTTTTTTTTCTCTTTTATTTTAAGATCCACCGCTCGTGAAACTGATATTAACGTATTTGTTGTTAAATCAAAAAAACAAAACACACATTCTCGTCATCAGAATCATCGTCAACAAACATCAGATATAAATGACAATGATCTTGTGCGTGAAATGCGTCAAAAATTAAAAGGACGAACATTACGTGATGTTATTATTGATGGAGCAAATATTGGAAGAACGTATGTTTTTAATTGTTCTTTTCTTTTTTGAGTCAAGGACTAGAGTGCATAGGAATCTGTTTTAACGCACTTTTTTTTCTCATCAAGGAACATTAAATTATTAAGTTTTGTAGTGCTTGTGTGAACGAATCTAACCGTGTATAGATATTGACGATAATTCTTCAATCATAAGTACTTATATGTCTTACATGTTTGATCATCATCATAAGATTTCTACGTGTTATGAACTTAGAATACAGATACTTCTTCTAAGATGGAATCAGAAGACTATGAGCTCCTTCATAGTGTGATCAATATAGGACAGTTTTAGTAGCGAAAACATTAAATAAAGGATCCATCATAGAACTGAGAGAGGGCGGGCAAGAATGTTTGAGTAGGGTAAGTTGATGGATTTACAATTACTAGATAATTTTGAGAGCCTTATGTGTCAAAGAATAAAGCTGAACACATTGTCAAAATGTCAGTGCTAGCAGAGTATATGACGAGCGACAAGTAGATGTATACTTTTTTCAGGAAAAACTATGACCGCCTGTTATGAGTTGAGACTATATTGTTTGAATAGATAGAAGTGACCATTTTTTGATTTATATTCGCAAATCTTTGTCAAGTTCGTTACTTTTCTAATCAAAATAAATAATATATTTGGAATTAGCACCAATAACCAAGTCGATCAATATATGTTTCAAATAGTTCGGAAAAAGTTTTATTTTCATCGAAAAATTCAATCTGAGTAACCTTTGGGTTGAGTCAAAAAAGTAGATGACTATGCATCAAAAGTAATCTTATGATTAACTTCAATTTTTCACTGAACTATGAAGAAAACTTAGGATAAATGTTTCAATGAAAATAAGACATGTTCAAACTATTTAAAATACATATAGATCAACTTGTTGATTGATGTTTATTTCAAATATGTTATTTATTTTGACTAGAAAAGTAACAAATCTGACAAAAATTAGCAAATATCACTGAAAAAAATTGTCACTTTTACTTATTCGAATAAAAGAATCTCGACTCATAACATTGGTTCATGCTTTTTCCTAGATAAATTCTACATGTTATTGTAGCTCGTCATATACTCTAGCTAGAAGCATTGAGATTTTGGCAACGTGTTCGGTTTTATTTTCTGATATATAATTATATATAAGGCTCTCAAGATCATCTAGTAGTTGTCTGTCAATTCTTAACTTAACGAAAAATCATTAATTTAATGGTTTGCTACCAAAAGGCAGCTCAAGTCATATTCTATTGATTACACTATGAGTAAGTTCATTAGCTTGTGATTTCATTTCAGAAGAAGCATTCGTCTTCGTAGCTTATAATACGAAGAAATCTTATGATGATGATCAAGTTTGTAAGGAGCATAACCTATGCTCCTAATTGAAGACTTCACGACAGCATCTATGCAAGATTAGATTCGCCAGCACAATCGCTACAAAATCTCATAACTTCAATTTTTCGTTCTGAAAAAAAAAACACGTGGATTAACAAAGATCCTGATGTGCCTCCATTCTTTCTCCTATCGTTTTCTTTAGTTATGGAGATTCCGAATTTTCTGCACGTGGTATTAAATTGGCTGTTGATTTATTCCAATCATATGGTTATCCTGATTCAAAAATTGTTGTTATTTTACCAGCACATTATTTATCAAAAGATAAAGAACATGTTTTTCCTGATTTAATTCGTCGAAAAATAGTTCATAAAGCATTTCAACAAAAAATTGATGATAAAAATAAACGATTTTATGATGATAGGTAAAATAAAAGAATTTTATTTTAAAATGAGAGTGAACGTTTTTTTTTTCATGTTTTTCTTTTCCTTAATGAAAGGTTAATTGTTGATGTGGCTGTAGTACGTAATGGTATTATTTTATCAAATGATTTCTATCGAGATTTACTTCAAGATTCCGGTGACGCTGTACGAAAAGCTATACGAGAAAGGTTATTTATTTGTATTCTCAAATGAACAAGAAAGGTATTTATTGTAATGATTGTGTTTTTCTTTTCTAGATTATTATGTTATCGATTTATTGGAGATAATTTATGTTTACCTAATCCAGTATCTGAAGGAGGTTTACCACTTGATCGGTTTCTATCCATGTGAATTTTTCATATACTCTTATTTTGTTTATTTATAAATAAAAATTTTTTACGTACTCCGTTCAGACGGTTTTTATTTGTCAGAAAATATTTCTTTTTTTCTTCTCGTATCTTTTTCTTTTAATCAAAAAAGGAATATACTTAAACTTGCAGATTATTTTTTCTTTTAAGTAACATTTTCTATAGGACGATGCTTAAATGCGTAATGAGCTGCTGATGGTGATTATTCACTTTTAGTTAATGTAGGTTGATGTTGATTAAGTGTACTATTTGCATTTGGTATCGCCTGTTTCACAAGAACAGTTTCAGAAGATGGTTGTACAGAAGACTGATATGATAGAATAGTTCGAGGTTGTACAGACGATTGATAAGATAGAACAGTTCGAGGTTGTGCTGGAGATTGATAAGGATGACCAATGGAAGTTTGTGCAGGAATCAGATAAGCAGAAACTGCTGTAGGTTGTGCAGAAGACTGATGAAGAGGAATAGCTGAAAGTTGTCGAGAAGCTTGAGGAAGAAGAACAGCTGAAGGTTGTCGAGGTGTTTGACGAAGAAGAACAACTGAAGGTCGTCGAAGAGATTGACGAAGTGGAGCGGCTGTAAGTAGTCTAGGAGATTGTGGAAGAAGAACGGTTGATGGTTGTTGAGGATGTTCATTTGAAGAATCGGGTGAAATTTGTGATGGACCAAATTGAGGTAGTCTTCGTCGTACTTTTATACGATTTCCTGGTGAAGCACTTGGATTTTCTCTTGTATTTGTATTCAGTTGAGAAGCATGTTGTTGTGCATTGAATGGAAAAGATTCATTGTTTCGTGTTGAATCTGTTGAAGACATAAGTCCTACTGTATTAGTTTTATGCCAAAAGGGATTTGCTTGATTTCTTCGTATTAATGAAGCTGGAGTTCCTAATCTTGGTATGTATGATTCAGTGCCCATTTGTTCATTACTTTTTTGTTCCTCATCTGATAAAACTTCGTCGTCATCATAATCATAATCATCATCTTCATCATCATCATTAGATGGATTCAGTCTCATTGGCATAGTTGATGATGATTTTTCATACCATATTTTACTTGGTGTAGGTGTACGTGCTTTAACTAAAACTTTCTCGTCAAAATTCACTGATTTTAAGGTTGATAATGGCTTTTGTCTTGAAAACATATGTCTCTCTGTCCTTCGTTTTTCATCAGGATCAGTTCTTTTTAATGCACTTTTTACAAAAGATGGTGTAGGTGGTGCAGTAATCATAATAATAGGTGGAGTTTTCATTATTGGATAACCTCCGTTATCATATAATCGTTCAATAGGAATATGATTAGATGGCATAATACTTTTCGATGGTTGTGCGCAACCCATAATTGTCACATAAATACTCATATGGTACGAAGATGATCGATTGAATACTAGAAATATATATACATATATATTTATATAAACAGTGAAAAAAGGCAATCAAGCTTTTTTCAGTACTTTTTTCTACGACAAAATGTCGAAAAAAAAAGGAAATGAAAGCTTTGAAATAATGAAATCATTTCATTAAATATTTTAATGACTTATTTTCGGAAACCAACTCAATATAACATTCTTAAAAAAATAGATAGTTTTCCTTTTAAGAATTGTAATATAGAAAAATAAGATGTTGTCATATATTAGTCATCATTTCTTTTTCTCTTTTCTAACAATTTCTTTATACTCGCTATGAATTTTGTTGTCTAATGAGTAAACATAATGAATCGAACATATTTAGATTACTTATTAAGATATATACGAATATATATAATTTATTGTACTTACCAACATTTGTCTATCAATGCTGTACATAATGTTTTTGTTTACTATTATTTTCACTAAAACTACCTAAGTAGAGTTGTATATATAGTTATGACATCGAACATGATTAAAAGATGTTGTTAAGAAAAAAAAAATGTAACTTATTGTNCATTTTGTTCAGCTTTCGATGCTCTATCTTCTGGTATATTACATTAATAATTTTATTGATTTATTGTTATTTAAAAAGACTCAACTTTTTAGGTACGATTTTCGACAATATTTTGCAAATACCCTTGTCAGTGCTAAAAAGTCGAATCAGGCTAACTTTTCACCAGCTCAACCAAATGCGCTAAAAATTTGGATTTAGAGGTTTTAGATAATGCTGAATAATATGAGAATATCAAATCAGAAAACTAAATTTTGACGAGTGCTTCGATATCTAGCACCATGCTCGATGGGCTCGTGGGTGCTCTCTTAATGCTTTCTCACTACAAAAGTACTTCAAACGCATTTCTACCTTAGTATGGGCATGCGTAAGAATAATAAATTTCTTAATCGTCTATATCTAAGAGCAAAACACTCGAAAATTGATCTTATTGAATTTTTGAATAGCCATTATCAGTAATATGGGTACTATAAACATGCTTCTTTTCCAGCTTATTTCTCTATATATAAATACCTTTTAAGAACGCCTTAGACATGTACGTTGACTTGACCGTAATAAAATATTGTGTGTTTTAAATATTTAAAAGTATATACTGCTCAATACCTATGTAAAAAATTTTAATCGAAAAAGTGACCATAAAGTATTTACAATAGTATGTTTTAAGCAAAACAAAGTACTATAAGAAGTGAAAAATAGTAAGAAAAGTTACTTTTATTTTACTTCATTACAATTAAAAGTGACTTTTGATTCAATCCTTTTTACATGGGTAATCTTACTCTAAAAAAATAAGACATGAAATGTATAGACAAGACGATTCGTCCGTCTAGACAAGACACTTCGAGCTAATTCTGATTGGTTGAAATATCTCTCATTTAGACACTTCAAGTGTCAACGGATAACGTTTTTTAGACACTGATGTGTCTTAATCTATCATAATTGGACCATATGCACCAGTGAAAGGAGGGTGTGAGTGCGGCTGTGGTAGATGTGTAGGTTTGTGGATACTCTATTCTCTTACAACACCTACACCCAATTAAGACACTTACATAAAATATACTGGATCACTTACAGCAAATATTTTATAATAAAATAAAACAACAGCATGTAGAGAGCAGCACGAAATATATAATTTATCTAAAAAAATAATAATAAATAACTTTAAAGTAATAGCTACAACTTACTTATTTATTTCTATATAATTTTGTTGAATCAGAGTGAAAATTAACACCGAGAACAAAACAATGATTATCTACAAGAAAATAATATTAGTAAACTAAAACACGATACAAGAAGAATAAGTTGTATCGAAATATGTTTAAAATAAAATACTGCTAAACGGATTTGATTTACTCAAGTGAATGATATAAAAGAAAGAAAGACGAAAATAAACAAACAGTTGGTAAACATAGTTGACCAGTCATTCAGATACTATAACGAAAGAGGGTGCTAATAACTTTTATTCTAACTCGACGCTTGCTCCACTGAAGAAGAAAATGTTAAGACGCGTCACTGTCTATTGTACTCATTTGTCTAAAAGTAAGACGCATTTCGCGTCTTTACTAGACATTAGACAAATGAATCGTCTTGTAAGACACAAGGCATTTTTTACAGTGGACTAAGTGTAACTAACCTTCATTATGCATGATTGTTTTTTGCTAATAGAGAAAAGAAATAAGTGGAACACGATCAATCCAATGAAAAGAAAATTTGTAAAGGTAGATGTCAATATATTACATACTTTCACCTGAATTTTATACAAAATTTTCAAGCTATAGTAATTGACTGTTCTCAAGAGTTTTCATAATTCTTGAATATAGGCAAGATCTCTTTCAAATTGTCTATTTACCTGTTTCATTTTTGTGTTTGATATGAAATAGATGCTTTGATGTCTAGCACTAATGATTCATGCTTTCTATGGCAGATGTTGAAGTTATCGATGCACTTTGATTCCAATGATCTGGAAACGGATAATACAGAACAATAATATATCAAAACAACTTAGAATTCTATTCTTATTCAGTTGTACAAACTCTAGTTCGGGGCAAACTTCCAAGTGATCTGATCTAAGCAAAATACTTTTCGATAGTACTTACCTCTTTACTTTTTCTGTATTATTGGTGTGGAGAACAAATGGTGCTTTTTCAACAGAAATTTAATATTGATTATTTGACTTCACTTAGAAAAGATTCCATCAGACTACCATTCAAAATCTTAGGAATAAGTTGCCGAAAGTTTTTTTTCGGAAATGTGTTAGGCATTTTAAAAGAGAAAAGAAAGTTAGCCAAAACACAAACTTTTACAACTTTTGAGTGAATGCTTCTAATGTTTTGTCTACCCAATGGTTTTAATCTTATAAACTACTGTAGAATCTCAAAATCCATAACTTTTGGTTCATATTTATGTATGATAGTTCTGATCGCAAAAGCTGTTCAAAGCCATTATGAAATTATACCGATCTATAGAGCAGAAGATGCTCCACAAAACCCTTTGTTTTATATACATTATTGTGTATGTCAAACAAAAAACATTCATTATAGTATGCCAAATTGTTCATTTTTTAGTCAGTTTGATATGCTCTTTTTTCCTTTTTGTTTTTATTCAGTTATTTTTTGAACGCCTAAAGTTCATTTTGCATATTTTTATAGAGCGTGAAATGTCGCATTTTTTGACAAAACAAACTTTCATTCCAAAGTACTAGCAAAATCCCCAAAAGCCCATGACAATGTTGCTCACTATAGATGTTTTTTTGTTGACATTTTAATAAGAATGCATTTATCAAGTCTTTATTAAAAGATTCAATATTCTCGAGAGAGATAAAATTTCTTTAAATGCTATCATGTATAGAACTACGTATCTTCATCAAAAATATTTCTTCTGGTTCTGTATTTTCTTCGATGATGTTTTTTTCCATTGTGAGAGTATTATACTTGTAAATTTGATAGCATTTGTGCAAAAATTGGAAGCAACAGTATTTTCTCTACTTTTTAACAATCTCTTTTTGGTTGATCGTGACTTATTCACTTGATCATGCTTTCTATATTTGAGAGCATCACTACGCTGTTGTCACGAATTATCTGTTTTTTATGTCTGCAGTTATCAATACATTATTGATTCGAAAAAAATGATAATGAATGTTGATCAAGAATGTATCTGTTTCTTCGCAGAAAAAGTTCAACAAGTCAGTACACAATTAGATTTTTTATTAGTTTCCTTAATTTTATACTCTCATTGAGGTTTCTTTTAACGAAGAAGAAATTGATTTTGCGCATGTACTCGAGTCTTCTAGCGAAATACCTATTGATTATCGATCTGAACTCCAACATCTCCTTCTTTTAGCTGGTTGGTATGACATGAAACTACTAGATAATTTATATAATCAAACGATTTGCACAAAACATCGAAGTTCATTACTAACGTTCTGACGTCGAAAATACATTTTTCAACTGTGTATATATATTTTCAACAGAAAGAAACGATCTACATCTTGTCTTCAATGTGTAACAAAATCATTGACGTTGCCATGTATCGAATGAACGTCGACTGAATACGTTGGCTTGAACGTATTTCGCTCACTTCGAAAAACATTTCTTACTTCTTTTATTGATAGAATTCCTCGGCCTGTACGCAATGCAGAAAAGCATGTACTGCTGAGTTTGGTGATACAGATGAAACAAAACACCTCTATCAGTGGCTTTTTGATGATTTGATTGCTTATACACCATCGACTGCAGCAAGTTCTTTTTTCTCAACAGAACTATTATTATGAACCCATGGACCATGATATTTCACCCTCGCAGAGAAATCATGGAAAATGAGAATTCAAACAGTGGCTAGCTTCTACAGATTACCAGGAACAATGTCGTTCAACTGAGAATTACTGTTCTCTTAGTAGACATGATCAGAAGATTTTTTGAAGTCACATCAAAGCAATCTTCTACTATATCCTTCATCAACTAGCTCCAAACAATGCAGATACGGTATGGAGTGATTTAGTGGATGAAGAAACAAAGAAACCAACTAGAACAAACGATAGGTATGATATTCAATAAATTGTGATATTCTCTCAAGAAAAAATGTCTAAGAAACAATATTTTTTTCTTTCTTAGAGATTACGAAATCGTTATGGAGTCTTTGAAAGATGTTTATTTTAGAGCTGAACATTGGTCAACCAAAAGGCAACTGTTGTCCATCGTAGCTCTTTATCTGTCAGCGTATTTACTAAAACTCGAGTTTCCCGGGTTGACAGATTGGAAAATAAAGACTGCACGTGTTCAGGCATTTTATCACGCTAATTCAGAAAATATGCATAATATAATAATTTCGTAAAGAAATATCATTATCTTCACATAGGACAAGGTGTTCTCCCAGAAACCATGCGTGATCCTGTGCAATGATATGCAGAGAAACAACTGGCATGCTCTATTGCATTCATCCAGCCGCCTCATATAACAACAAATATGCCTTTCGAAGAGCGAAAACTCAACTTGAGTAATGAATGAAACATTCTTGTACCAGCTATTGTTCGGAATATCATACCATCTCGAATTGTGTCTCAATACCTCGCCTACTGCAGAGACACGGTTGATGACGATTTCAAATCACTTGGTCCATCATCATTGTTTGCTATTCTTAAAAAATGTGGTGCAACGATGTGAAAAAGTTTGACCGACTGAGATAACTTCTCATATGATGATTCAACAGCTTTCGACCAACTTGGACGTTTTATGTGACGAAATGGCTATGTATGGTAAATATTGAGCGAATCACTCAGTTTGCTTTTATCCGCTGCAAGTATTATATATTGTTGTTTAGGTACAAAACCAGAAGTAATTGTTCGTCTCAAAGTAGATTTACTTGATGGACGCAATTATTTGAAATTAGATTATCGAATACATATATCAAACAGCAGTAGAATTGCAGATCACTGTTTAGCAGTTTGTTTGAGTGATATTCATAACTCATCTTGGAGAACAGAGTGCGATCACGAACATGATGAAGAGTATGTACACATTACAAATCATCTTATCTGAGCTCGTCACTTTTCTGTTTCAGTTGTAATGCTTGCTTACATCTATGTGAGACGCTTAGTTAACTTTTTTTTCGACTATTGAGCAAAATATGAATGTTGCTGAGGATACACAACGTCTGTTACGATATCGCTTAAGATAGAATATTCAACTTATCATAGACTGGAAGAAAGGTGTAGGTGGGGTATGGTGTGTGGATGTTGCTGTAGGCTAGGTATGGATGTTCGGGTTGGGTGTGTGAGTGTTGGTAGGATTGCTCGGCTATCAAGAACAGGTCCAAGTCCGCTCCCTCACCCTACACCCACTCTTATCTCGCCACGCCTGATGTATAAAGATTTTCGTTTGTGACGTATTTCGTCATTATCATTTCGTCAACGGCAAAACTTCTGAAATAAAAGAACGATCGACACAAGAAGTCCTCAAGGTCTATGGCAACGGAGCGGAAACTAAAAGTGTCATCAAGAAAACCAAAAAGCTATACATACGTAGTGAGACGACGCCTCAATTATTACATTCATTCATCTGTCCAGCATAAAGAATGAGAAAACGACAACAGCTACTGCTAGTGGGCGAGCAGCAATGATCACTACCACTAACAGTACTGATGTACTTGTTCTGACCTTTTTGTCGGATATTTCAAAACTTCATTCTGATTTGACTTGACGCAAATTTTGACAAGTGCAACAACGATTTCAAAATACTATTACAATATTTACAACGTTTTGTGGCATCCATCAAGACATTCACGGAAGCTCGCAAGTGTGTGCATTATATCAGTACAATAAGCATAAAACGAGTGTTCATGATTGTTGCTAACTACTTAGGTCGTCAAGTTATATCAGTTGATCGAAACATCGCCGCAATTAGAATCAGTGTACATGTTTTGTGGCAGTTGATTGGTTCATGAGAAATGGGCAAAAGTACACCGAAGGTGAAAGGCATATACACAGAAGTTGAACGGATTTATGAAGCGTTACAGATTGATGGTGAAAATTGTGATCAAGCTATGATGTCGTTCAGTTTTAAGAAAATTGATCCCTTCTGTATGTACGCACAGTTATTAAAAGAAGCTCTGTTGGAAATTGAAGATGATGATGCAAAATCGATAAAAGAACCTGTTGAATACTGTCGTTTTCGAAATCATATTTCTAGAGTATGGGTGGATGTGAATGACGATGAGCGTGCGTGGTAACTAAACACAAAGCTGATCCGACACCCAAACCCACACCTACAACCTCAATGCTTATCATATGTGAATTATCCGAACCAGCCTAGAAATATCAAAAAATGATCTTTCTTATTTATCTGAGGAACATTCGTAAGGCAATGTTTGGCACCGTTACTTTTGAAAAACACACTATAAACTTATCCATTCAACTCAAACAAAAAGATTTCATTATTTTCTTTTTATTCTTTGAGATGCTGCGTGTAACTTAATAGCCTATTTAATGAAAAGAAATTATCAAGAAAAATTGATAGCCATAGTCTAATTGCCACTTTTTGTTTGCATCGAACTGGAAATAAATACTAATTTCACAATTAAACACTTACTAAATATTCGATGCAATGAGAACTTAACTTTGTTTGTTATCTATCCATATTTCAAGAAGTTTCATAGGTAAAAGTTTAAATCTTCAAACGCAACACGTTCATTATTAGCATGAGATTCTTAATGAGAACTTCAGTTTTTCGCACCTCATTAAATACAGATGTTTGCTTCTACTAAATTTCTTTTAAACAAACAAAATAAACAGAAGCATTTTAAGTCGAGAAGAAGAAGATAATTGATTTCATTGTTACACTATTTCGAGAATTAACTGCTGGGTCAACTGATACTCAACTGTCTGAGTTCAAAATATTTTTATCTAAATTTTTATAAAATAACTTATAAAATTTTCTATTTTTTATTTGCAAGACAAGATTTGATTTGAACCAGGAAATAAGTAACTCAGAAAAATGAACTTTTACATTGACAAATAATTCAACAAGTATTTTTTAATTTTTTTTCGAACGGTTATCTCTCTTGAATGCAAATAAATTAATATTGTTACAATATGGAAGAGACATTCATGTTTTTAAACTATTTGTACCCATCTGTTCGCTTACGATCAAACTACGCTGCAATTACTAGAAAAAAAGACTACATGGAGTAAGATTTTTACTTTATCAATATTTTTGCTAATAATTATTCTTAATGTTAAACATTTTCCATAACATCTAACTGAAGGATAACCACACGTGAAGAATCCGAATCTCAGTTTAAGTTTTATCTTAATATTTTTATTTCAAATTATTAAGAACTCATAATAAGACATTAATAAATCATAATGAAAACATTTAAAAATTCATGATAACAAGAAAAACCAACTTAAAAAAAACATGATAATAATTCATAATAAAAGAGTTCATAAAATGAAAATCTGACCTCGTATTTGAATTCATGGTCCTCGAAAGTCACCTGGACTTCATTGACTCTACAAAAGTTCATTCAGACTGTATACTCTATCAGTTGCAGCAGAATGAAATATGAATCACACTCTCACAAACACTTCGCTTTCTACCATCTTTCTGTGGCTAAGTTTTGACGCTAGAGTGTGATCAACTGTAAAAAAAAATGAAAGCGTTTATGATTGGTTAGCATCAGATACATTGGACGTTGGATATGAGTAACGCAACGCAGTTGCATTTATCAACGTTGCAGTATTCGTAGCCTTTGAAGTGATTTTCATTCAGTTCATATATGAGTTTTCAGTCTCCAAGGATTCAGGTTAATTATTAATTGAGTTGAAAATAATATATTACTTTACTTGAGCATTTATCTTATTTTCAAAAGCAACTTATTGTAAAAAATATCTTCTAGTTCAAGTAACAGATCTGATTACATGCATTTTTTTCAAAACATGTCAAAGTCAATCAATTGCTGGATATATGAGAGTAAAAAACGGAAAGTAATTCTATTGGTTCAAACATAAAAGGATAAAAGGCCGAAAAAGGAATCGAAGCAAAACAAAAATATATTATGACTTATCATCGAATTGAATTATAGATTGACTGTAGATAGTTCCTCGTATTTTTTTTTGATTTGTTTCAGTTTCTGTTTCGGTCTTCTATTATTACCCATACACAAGATGTCGCGTGTAGCATGTATATGTAAGTAGTTTATCTTAAACTCCCCTATCCTACTCTTGAGTAGTATTATGAAATACAAGTTCAGCTCGAAATATACTGGTAGCCCATGTCGTCTCTTTTTCACCAACTACGTCGTAGTTACGCGTAACTGCGAAATTGTCATTGTAACTGCGGCGCATTGATCGTATCGTACGATACACTGTTACTGATACCAAGCAATTATAAGTGACTCCTCCTTATTTGTGATTGGTCACATTCTAGAGCTAAATCTTAGCCACACAGCAACTGTATACAAGGACGTCTACGTGATACTGCGATTCATAATTCATTCTGCTGCAACAGATAGATTGTGTATACCGTCTATAATTTATTTATTTTTTTAATTTTCTAATTTTTTTACCATTTAAGATTTTTTATTAGTAATATTTAAAAATTTTTCTATTTTCTTTCATTTCTGTGAATTTTTAATTTTTCTTTTTTTAATCTTTTAAAATGCTTTGTGTTTTAAAAATTTGTTGTAATTCACAATCAAAATATTAATAAAATGAAAACTTCACGCATGACGTCTCTTTTAGCAACTGCGACCGCACTCTAACCAGTAATTTGCGACGAACTGCGATTTTTTTAACGTAATTACGAGTAACTGCGTCGCAGTTTTTCGCAATTACGCTCACAGTGTGATCGCAGTTTGATCATAATCGAACACATGGGAAGAGATTCTAGTAATACAATTTTCGAAAGGTTTACATAAATTCTTTCCTTTCTGTTGTTGTAGAAATTGAATTTCAATCGAAAGCTATGTGTGATGGTCGTCGACCAGAAGAAGATGAAGTTTCTGGTTCCCGGTTTAGTCAACAGATCCTTGACACAAATGGTTATCAAGATAATGCGCAAAGTGCTTGTTTAAATTATTTACCGGGAAATAACGATGAAGACGTATGTTGTTTCTATTTGTTTATTTTCTAATAGTTTCAGATGAGGTGGGCCTAAAGTTTTGTAGAAAAAATATTTGACTTATTTTCATGTATTTCAATGCATTAGAATCAGAGTTTTGTGGTCTTTCAAAGTATATGCATAAAATTCTCTGTGACTTTCGACTATTACGCTATAAGTGAGCCATGAGTAGGCTCCAAATTTTTTGTCGGGAAGAAAATAAATCTAAAATGCAAGTTGTTTGGACATATCACAAAATTTTACTGAAAATATTGCAAGATACAGAAAAATCGTCTCTATAAAGCAGCATTCTCGGTCAGATAATAAGACGCGTAAAAGGTCGTAAATGACTCGAAAACGGTGAAAAACGGCTTCCGTTTCGAGGATAGCTTACGATGCGGTCTAAAACGTGGAAATGCGGTTATAAAATATATCTGTTTCGCACTGAATCAAAACATGTTCCATACGCATCATTAGATATTTTTTAATAACGGATAATAGAAACACTTCAATAATCTTATCTACCAATTCTATTTGAGCCGATTTCTAATGTTTCACGCAATGTCTTTTGCTGAGATTGAAATACACTTTGCTCTCTTTTGTTGCTAATGTAAGGCATCAATTAATCTTTTTTGAGCTATTTTAAGCATCGATGAATAGATTTTGTTGAGATCTACTCGACGATATAATCAGAGGCGGCGGGACCATTAGTATCCGATAGGCCCAAGCCTTGCCTAAAAAATGAAGATGATTGCTTGAGGAGACTCAACAGTTGAAAAACTTTTATGAATCTCATTCTGAGTTTATATTGAATGACTCAAATGTATTATGAACACAATGTAGTTTGTATATATCGTTGCATATACAAATGATAAAATGTCTAATTTTTTTAAAAATGCGTTTCTGTAGCTTTTAACAAAGCTATCCAAAAACTCCTGTTGATTTGCTCTGATGAATTTTAGAAAGCTGAAAGGAAAGGTGTATAAAAGGTTTCTGCTACAGATTATATTAAAGTTGAGAAACATATTTGAAATAGTATCTTTTTTTTTTATTTATTGTTGCATGGAAAGATCATAAAAACTTGAATAGCTTTTGATGGTGTATCATTTAACTGTCGACAATGTCCAGAGAAAAACGTACGAGACACTAGGCTGTCTCACCAAAGCAGTAGAATAAACGCTCCAGAAATTATATAATAATTATCAAAGTCAAGCTTTGTATACAAAAAAAGCCGTTACTAAATAAAATGATACTATAAAAGTAATTTGTCTTCCTTTCAATAATCGCCATTAAAGAATCAAAAGTGAACAATTAGGTGATTCATCGTTAAAATAGAGAAGCTAAGTCGACTCAAAAGAGTGAAAAATTGTAGCATCTTGTAAGTCATTGATTTAATCCTACTCAAAATCGAGTAATCTAGTTTAAAGAACATTTTGCTTCTTGAAAAAAATATACAAGTTCCCAGAATTTTCGTGCGGATACTAATAAGAAACAGATTTATTTGAGATATATTTAGTACTTCTAATATAATGAACAGTAACAATATTTCATTCATCCTTTCTTTCGCTGTTCTAAGAACTTTTCAGAACAATTCAATAGGTTCTTGTGATGCCGTTATCTTAAAGAATCCAGCATCTTCTACGAATCATTCTTTCGAAATTTTTCTGTAAGTCCTCGTACTCATTTCATCGTCCAATGAAAGAAATTGAAGTAAAGATAGGTGTTTGGTTGCAGGTGAAGGTCACTCTTTCAAACCATACACTTTTTTTTTAAAGTATGATTGAATTGTATTTTGTGCTATTGTATAGAGGAATTTCGTTTGTTGAGTGAATCTAGTAAATCCCAAAAAAGATAAATCATACAAGATTCTCAAATTTAACGGCGAATCTTTTGATGAAATTTTCAGATTATACGATTTTCCGGTACAAAAAATATATGCGATATAAACCATGCTGCAAACATAGTGGAACAACTGCTATCTCTTTAATATAAGTTACAGTTGGCAGGGTATAAAGTCACTTCTCCCTATCTATCTCACTCTTCCATTACTGCCTGAAAAGTTTTGAGCTTCTCCGAGATTAGACTCGTTCCACCGCCTCTGAATATGACGCGTGCTCTGTAAAAGCGTCACTATGTCATGCTACACGATGATGAACATGACATTAATATTGAATTTTCGAATGTATGTCCACATCCTCGAATGCTCTTCTTTCACCATATTTTTTCATAGGTAAGTTCTATAGATGCTACAACCCATTCATCGTCTTCGATATGCTTAGTGCGAAGCTTATCCAAGTTCTAATGATATTGCTCACGGCATACCGGAACAACAGCTTGTAAACGTTTAAAAAGCGGTGAAAACATACTAGTGAGTTACTTGTTAAAAACTAAATCTTCGACAGTAGAGTTTTTTTGAATCAGTGAACTACTATTTAGCTGTGCGTCTTTTTAATGAATTATTTGAAACTATTGATTCTTGAGTCATGCTGCAGAGTAGACACCACCATTAAGTGCTTAGTATTTCATGTTTGCAGGAAGCACACTTTCCGTCAAAAAAAAAAGAATAAGATTTTTACCTTGGTAGAGAATTTTTTGAGTCCTGTCAAAATCTACATGGAAAAGTAAAAATTATGTTAATTATTATTTTTAAATAACTGATTTTTATTTAGGCTGATACACAAAATCAATTGACAGAAAAAGTTAAAGCAACTGAAGGTCAAACTGGTGAAGCAGTTAATGAAAGTGTAAGTGCATCAGGTAGACAACGTCGACGACGATGGAATCAAACAGCATTTACCGATAATGATGATCCAACAGCGAAAAAAAAAACTTATGATGAAGTAAAATCAATTGTTTTTTGTTTTTCTTCTTTACGTAATACATATTTTTTATGATATTCTAGGCAGTAACAGTAGTTCATCGAATATGGGATGCTATATCAACATCTGGTCAATCATCATTTGATGAAACACCGATGACTTTACTTACATCTAGTGCTGAAACATCACATGATTCAGCTATACTATCAAATAAACGTAATCAATGGGATGAAGTAAGTCCATTTCTAACATAATTCTTATCCAAGTAATCAAATTTTTTTCTTATTTAGACTTCACATACGGAACGAGGTATGTCTTTCAAAAACAGAAGAAAAAAAGACTTTTTTATTTTGCTATTTTATCATATCTATTAATTTATCTTTCATAGAAACAATAAATTTTGATTATGCAGAAATATCAAAGACCGGTTGTGGTAGTATGAATGATGTTGATTATATCATGCAATCAACTTCAACACCTTCAACTGATGAACGTCGTTCATGTAGGTATGAAGTATCTACTAATACAACAACAAGTGGAGTTAATTTTACATTATGTATGACGCCAATTATAACAACATCTGTCGGTCCATGTGCAGCTAGTATGGCAACACCAAGTCAAGTTTCAATGACAGCTGAACAGTTAAAAGCATATCGTTATGAACCTGGAATAGATGAACGTAATCATCCATTATGCGATACAGAACTTGATGCAATGTTTCCGTCTGGCTCTATAAGTCTACCACCACCAACACCACAATCAACATTTTCTGGTTTTCATAAACAAGAATCAGCACATGGACTCAATGTGCCATTGAATCAATTACAAGAATATCAACCATCAGGAAATTTACCATTAATTAAACCAGATGATTTACAATATTTTGATAAATTATTACAAGAAGTTAATGAAGAATCTTTAACACCTGACGAACAAAAAGAAAGAAAAATAATGAAATTATTACTTAAAATTAAAAATGGTACACCATCTATGCGTAAAGCAGCTTTGAGAAAAATAACTCATCAAGCACGAGAATTTGGTGCTGGTCTATTACTTAATCAAATATTACCAATATTAATGGCGTCAACATTAAAAGATCAAGAACGTCATTTACTTGTTAAAGTTGTTGAACGTATCTTATATAAACTTGATGATCTTGTTCGTCCACATGTACACAAAATTTGTGTTGCTATTGAACCACTTTTAATTGATGAAGATCATTACACACGTGTTGAAGGACGTAAAATTATTTCAAATGTAGCTAACGCAGCTGGTTTATCAACAATGATATCAACAATGAGACCTGATATGGATAATTTAGATGAATATGTACGTAATACAACAGCACGTACATTTGCTGTTGTTGCATCAACATTTGGTATAACAGATTTATTACCATTTTTAAAAACTGTTTGTACTAGTAAAACATCTTGGCAAGCTAGACATACTGGAATTAAAATTATACGACAAATTGCTATTTTACAGGGTTGTGCTATTTTACCACATTTACAATCACTAGTTGAAATTATTGAACATGGTCAGACAGAAATAAAAAAAAGAATTATTTTAATTTTCTAAAAATAATATATTTTTTTAATTTTAGGCCTTGTTGATAAACAACAAAAAGTACGAACAATTGCAGCTTTAGGTATTTCAGCATTAGCTCAAGCAGCAGCACCATATGGTATTGAATCATTTGATACGGTGCTTAAACCACTATGGTGTGGTATAAAGCTACATCGAGGAAAAGTAAGTTACGTTGCATATAAGAAAATTAAATAATTATGAATAAATTAGTGATCAAAAAGATTGATCCTCCTTATGTTTCATTGAGTATTGGGAAAAAACTACAGTTCAAAGTCTCTAATGTCCGCACCATCGAGATTCCTCAAAATCTTGCATTATTGTGAAATTTTCTGTTTCTTTTGTGTAATCTATAAGTACTCAGTTATAATCGCTTGTCGGTTGTACCAGATGAATTACTTCTTTTCAACAATTCATTAATTTAACTGTTTTAATCAAAGATAAATCAATATGTGTTGATATGATTTGATGTTACTAAGAAGTTCTCAGCACAAAAGACAAACGGTAAGATGTTATATCAAGCACTGCTGTCTAATTTTGTTATTTTTTTTAAAATACGTATGATTAGTCCACTCCGTTTTCTTATATGTTCCATAATTGTTTATCATAAAGTAGTACAAATAACATCATTTTTTCTTATTCTCCAGATGAGTGATAGAGCATGTTGTTCACATTACAGAGGTTATTTTTCTTCGTAGTTCTAAAAAGTAAGCATCTACTGTTTAGAATAAGGAAATACTCACATATATATAGATATTCTTTGAACATATATCATTGAACAAGTTCAGACAGTCATGGACACAGAGGAAGTTTTCAATTAATTATTTACGAGTTTCCAAGAGATATGTCATGAATATTTTAGTGTCGAATAACTGCGTTAATTAAGTGGATTTCTGTTAACACTTCTATACTTTCTATTTTTTATTATAAGATAGAAGAGATTGAACTTCTCTAAAATTTTCCAAAATTGTTTCTCTAATAAAGATCGTGAGGAGAACGTGAGACATGAAAAGAAATTCAGTTCTATTTCTCGACTTTTTTTTCTCTAGTACCATCGAACTTACTCAAGATAGGCTATTACAACTCTTATCCTTATCTTAAACAGCATCATAATACAATAACTAAATCTTATTGTAAATTGATAAAACAAACAACATATTGTGAGTATACTGATCGTTCTATTCCTACCTTTATATTATGTTATGTAACTCTCTCTGCATGACCTTTTTAACAATGTAGTTAAATGCCTTACATAATTTTCTTATTAGATATTCCTATCCTTGTATAGCTCTACATTTCTTATCTCTTCTATTTATTTTCCTTTCAATGTTCATTCCCTCTACTGTAAGAACATCAAAGTCGATAGTTATTAAAAAATAAAAGTAAAAAGAAGAAATTACTCATATATTTTGAGATGCTCATCATCAACAAAATTCCCTTAAGCAGACTATAGGCTGCCTAGTATAAAGAAATGCTTATTATGAAGAGGTTTTATTGTATGATCAATTAAATAAAATATAATTCAATAGTAAAACGACGAGAGTATTTGTTGAATGAATAATTAAACAATTGTTTTAGAATTATTTTGCATTTCTTAAAGCTATTGGTAGTTTAATTCCATTAATGGATGCTGAATATGCATGTTATTATACACGTGAAATAATGCCTATATTAATTCGTGAATTTCAATCACCTGATGAAGAAATGAAAAAAATTGTTCTTAAAGTTGTTCAACAATGTGCAGCAACTGTTGGTGTTGAAGCTAAATATATAAAAGAAGAAGTTTTACCATCATTTTTTCAATATTGTTGGAATCAACGTATGGCATTAAATCGTCGTAATTATCGACAATTAGTTGATACAACTGTTGAAATGGCAAATAAAGTTGGTTCATCAGAAATAATTAATCATATTGTTGATAAAATAAAAGATAAATCTGAACAATATCGTAAAATGGTTATTGAAACAATTGAGAAAATTATGAAAAATTTAGGTTCAGCTGATATTGATTCACGTTTAGAAGAAAAATTAATTAATGATATATTATATACATTTAAAGAACAAACAACAGAAGACACAGTTATGTTAAATGGTTTGGGTACTGTTGTTAATTCATTAGCTAAACGTTGTCAAGCATATTTACCACAAATTTATGATACAATATTATGGTGTTTAAATAATAAGGCAGCTAAAGTACGACAACAAGCAGCTGATCTTATACAAAAAATAGCTAATGTAATGAAATTATGTTCAGAAGAAAAATTAATGGGTCAGTTAGGACTTGTTTTATATGAATATCTTGGTGAAGAATGTCCTGAAGTTTTAGGAAGTATTCTTGGAGCATTAAAAGGTAAGAAGATTATTTTAATACAACCAAAAAATAAATGATTGTATTTGATATTGTTTTTAGCAATTGTTAGTTGTATTGGTATCACTAATATGACACCACCAATTGAAGATTTATTACCAAGATTAACATCTATTTTAAAAAACAGGTCATTTCTTTTTATTTTATTTTGTGATATAAATAATCCAGCAATGTTAAGCTAGGAAAGCTCACCATTTTTTATATCCCTTTGACATTTATGACTCTAGGATGTGGGTGTGGCCAAATTCTGTATCCATAGCCGCAGTTATATTGACACCCGCACTCTCATAGAATGATGAACATAAATGTAGAGTTAAGTAGTCATAATTGGTAACACTTGTACCATAAATACAGGAAAAATAATGAAAAGAGTAAAAAAAAACATCAATGTAGACAATTTTCATAGGACGTTTGATTATAATGTCACTTTCTAGAGAATAATTTTGTCTTTAATTTTATGCAAAAAGAATCATTGATATAGCGTATGCAGTAAAGAAGATTGAAACAACCAAAATCGTCAACTTTCTTCGTTCAAACTTAATTTGTATGTCTCTAGAAAATCAATTTATAGCTCGATAAATCAGGAGTTTTACAAAAATTTTGAATGTATATTCGAAAAGAATACAAAATTCTAATTCTAACCCAATCAGAGCTGTCGGCCGGTAACTTTTGTCTCGCCTGCTCCTAATATCTGCAAGCCCAACCAGGCTAATTGATATTTCTAATTTTGTAAATACAGTCTAATTCTACAACTCTGCATTAATGTATCATTCGTATTACAGTTGTAGAATTGACAATGTATATTTATTTTCAATTTAATTTATGCATAAATTAAATTATCAGAAATTTTAATTTAAAACATATTTCAAGAATTTTTTCATAATAATTTAAATTAATTTTAAACTTACAGGATGCTGACACCCCTTTTCAGTTGTTCGCTTAATTTATTTTCATGCACATAGGATAATAATAAGTTGTTGCATGAAAGAGCAATGTAAGACAGGAAGATAGTAATCATAAAAAATCTTGATATGTGAAAGGCTTTAATTAACGCAATGCCTTTGATCATATCAATTTTGTTTTGTATTATCGAAAAAAATATAACAATGATAACCAAATAACATATGGTGAAACATACAATGAATTAGAGGTAGAAGACAGTATAGAACAAAACTACAAGAAATAAGTAATACTTAAAATAGCAGACAATGAGTTTTCATTTAACAATCAATTTTTTGCAACAGAACAATCACAAAATTTACTATTCGATAGTTTGACTCTAAACATGTTCTTCGATCAGTGAATATAAGTCCTACAATACTAAATCGATGTTCAGTTCAAGAATGGGTTATTAAAATAGAATAAATTTGTTAAAGTACTCTTGGATAGCCAGACAATATATCAACATTTGGCTTGCAAAACTTAAAAGTCACTCATGTACAAATCGATGAATATTCAGTAATTTAACGAAAAAAATGTTACTTTTTGACCATTAAAACGCACCAAACATTTGTTTTTAACAAAGACTCATGAGTTTTATCATGTTAAACTGCTGTGAACACGGAAAATGTGTGAAATTTCGTTATAAACAAGTTTTTTATGCATTTTCACGATCAACAAGTCACATATTTTTTCGTTAAATCGTTCAATTTTTAATAGTTTTTACATAGTCACACCAAACCAATAGCTCTGAACCCAATGTTGTCAAATTTCTGCAGGCTTCTGAATATGCAACAAATATTTTATCTGATTACTTTGCGATCATCCTTCATTGGTTATTGGAGTGATTATATTGTCGAAAATAGAGATTGAACAGCAAGAAAAGCACTAATTATTTTCTTTGCTTTCATGACAATATGCAATGGGCAGAAGTAGTTTATATTTTACGCTATGAAAGTAATAAAAAAAAAAAGGATGAATACATAAAAACAAATTTTTTTAACTATACACGTATATTTGATACATATTATCAAATAGAGATCTATTTTTATTTTAAATATTGTATTAGGGCTGAAGATATTTTATCCGTATTAAATATTATTTCAACTTCTCATGTGATGAAGTTGATAATACATACATTACCTGTGTTTTCGCTTGTCCTCTGTTTGCTTAAAAATGATGATATAATTTAATTTCAGCTTCTTATCTGTGATTCATCAAGCTATTATAGAACTTTTGAAACTTATACGAATCATTCGTGGGTCTATGCATTAATCTTTATTACACAATCAATCCTAAAAATTCCTACTCATATAAGGCAGATAATATTTCGTTTAAAAAATTTCAACATGATCGATCTTGTAGATTTAATATTTTCGAGGCGGAGTGATTGAATGAAATATTCGTTTTTTACTAATCATGAATAACTGATGAATTTTACCACAAAAACATATTTTTGATATTTTTGAAGTTTTATGCATTGTCTAGTTTTTTTTTGTAATCGGTCTACAAATGATCATTCCAATGACCTGCAGTAGGAAAAAGGATTCAAAAAAAAAGAAAGAAAAAATTCTGCAAAATTTCTCTGCAAATAACAATTTTTATCAAAACTTCATATTTATTTTTTCTTTTACGAATAGACATGAAAAAGTTCAAGAAAAATGTATTGGTCTTGTTGGTTGCATAGCTCAATTAGGTGCAGAACATGTTCCAACACATGAATGGATGCATATTTGTTTTGAATTACTTGAATTATTTAAAGCACATACAAAATCGATTCGTCGAACTGCTATTAACACATTTGGTTATATAGCTAAAGCTATTGGTTCACATGATATTCTAGCTGCATTATTAAATAATCTTAAAGTACAAGACCGACAATTACGTGTCTGTACAACTCTTGCAATAGCTAATGTATCTGAAACATGTTCACCACTTACTGTTTTACCAGGTAGATTTTCTTTTTGTTTCTGTTATTTATTTTTTCTTCGTTTTTTTTTCTTTTCAAATAGGTTTAATGAATGAATATCGTGTACCGGAATTAAATGTTCAAAATAGTGTATTAAAAGCTTTAGCATTTATGTTTGAATATATTGGTGACAAGTCAAAAGATTATATATATGCAGTAACACCATTACTTGAAAGTGCACTGATGGATAGAGATTTAGTTCATCGTCAAACAGCCATGACTGCTATTGGACATTTGTCATTAGCTGTATTTGGTTTTGGCTGTGAAGATGCATTGTGTAATTTATTAAATCATGTTTGGACAAATATATTTGAAACAAGTCCACATGTTATTCAAGCATTTATATCTGCTATTGAAGGTTTATGTGTTGGTTTGGGACCAGGTCAATTACTTTATTATACATTACAAGTAAAGATTTGTTTTTATAATCAACCGATTAATTATTTTGATTTGTTTGTTTTTAGGGTCTCTTTCATCCAGCTCAACAAGTACGCGATATTTATTGGAAAGTATATAATACATTATATATCGATGCACAAGATTCATTAGTAGCTGCTTATCCACGTATTATTGATGATAATATTCGCCCAATGATAAATGAAACTGAATTATTGAAAAAACGTATTGAAAAACTACGGAACGATTATGCTCGATATGAACTTGATTATATCATGTAAAACCTATCATCGTTGTTGATATATGAATTAAAAACATAACAAAAAACGACATTTTCATAGTAGATACTTGTCTGTGTGCGTCTACATCTTGTCTTCTTTTTTGTTTCATCTTCGATATGTATATGTATGCCTAATATTACTTGCGATAAACTAATCAATTTTTAAATCAAGAGACTAATTTTAAATAAAAACAAAAAAAACAACGTGTAAAACTTCAGGCTGTGGTTCTTCTCTTCATACACCCTCAGGACATTTAAAAAAAGTGTAAATGTCAAGGATTAGGGATCCTAGGAAGTATTGGCCTTCGCTAAGAATTTTATCAGATCAAAGCCAATTTCTAGATAAGAATAACTGGAATTAGCTGGAAAGAGTTTTAAAATTTCATTTTTAGGATTGTTGTCGATTTCTAATTTCAAACATTTTCAGTTCGCTTTGTGCTTCAAGTGGGAAGACACTCGAAGAAAATAATTCTTCCTTAACGAAAGATGCCATATAATTCTGACACTAAATTTTTTTTTGAACTTTAGATGAATAGCATCTACGTAGTTATAGCACAAATAACTTGATTAAAATAATCATTTTTAGCAGAAAAGAATATTTGTCTGACATAATTTTTGTAAAATAATTATGGGCGAGAAAAATGGAACTTAGTCCTCGTAGATTCTTCTGAATTTAATTGATCGACTTAGTAATTTTTCGAGATTCACATTCTTCCACAATCGTGAACATGTCTTGGCTATATATTTCCATCAGACTTTAGTAGTTTTCTCAGAAAATATAGAATCACTTTCATAGCGATTCTATTAAATATGTCGAGTGCTTGCAACAGAGATGTGGCGTGTGTCTACTTTTCATCGGCATTCACACTCACGCCCTCTTTTGTATCTCTATTTTACACTGATTATAGTATTAAAAAAAAATATGCTGAAGATTTTTATATTATATTTGCTGAACTTAATTTAAGCTAGTCTCAAAATTATTTATAACTGAACAATATGCTAGGAAATCAGCGAATTTTACTTCGTTGGACTTAGCTTTTTAGGGATGAGGAACACTGAATTAAAAAATAGAACTAAAGATAAGAATGCTAATTTTGTTTGATCTGTACAGTTGTATTGTTTTGATCATCCTGGAAATTTCATTAAATATTTTTTCGATCGAAAGGATCTTTACTATGCAATTTCTGATAAAAAAAATCCTCTATGGAAATGTCCACTCAAAATTCATAATATATTTTAATATGTGAGTAAAGTAAGTATGAGAAACTTAAGTTTACCGTTTGATGTACGTTCATATTGGGTGCGGTTGTAAGTGTCGGCGAAAAGAAAATCCAGATCCGCATCTTTTATCAGAAATAGAACAGTCATCATCCATCCACTTCATCAGTAATATTTCTTTCTTTATATATGTACTTATCTTTGATGGCTATTTGATTAGTATTCATTATGTATTAGTATTTTTTTTTCACAAATCTATGAAGTCTCAATTGATTCTAGCTATAGCTGAAACTGAAAGAATTTCATTTTTGCTGCTGGAGATCAGAGCGTCGGCGTAAGTAACAACAGTTGATGGCGTGGTGCGAGTGTGAGTGATAATGAGATTCTTATTTTATCCACACCCACGCACACCCACATCCACCCTCAAGATCAGAAGATGTCTATTACTGTGGCCAATGCATTTACATTTTAGGCTCAGCCTCTGCTCATTTCAATAATGATATAGTTACTATCTCTTCTTCCACTGAGAGTTTAGATAAAACCTTGTTGTTTCTTAAAATAAGTTTTGAATTATGTGAAATCTACCAAATATCCTTGCGTTGGTGTTGTACTAAGGAAGAAATAGAATTTTCCAGATAGTCACTACCACGATTTCAAATAGAATAAACATTATATTTTGCATACATTTTCATCGATATATCTTGAGAAAGACTCATCATGTAAATCAAAATACAATGAAAAAACGTTCAGATGGAAACCAGCCTCTGTCTTGTAAAGGAGTCATACTCGACTACGTGTCAATACATCAGAAACCAAAGACTTGAGAAATATGATCTTGAAAATCAAAAAAATGAATTTTTTTTCTCAAGAACTAATTGACGCCGGATACTTGCACCACAATAAGTGCAATAACGTATTTCACCATAATTGCGTCAGAACCACTAAGAAACGTGACACGTCAGAGAGGTAAACAAGCAGTGACATAGTCAAAGTATTTTTTTTCTTTTGCATTCTTTCCTTCGTGTTGTTGGCTAATGCCGATGAAATACATGATAGAACTAAAAAGAAAAACATGTTGGCCATGCCTTCGAACTTTTTGACGAAAAGTAAGTCATTGACGAACGAGCTATAAAGCAAAAATCAGAAGAAATCAGGTACTCTACCGTCATTCCCCGTTTTGGTACACATCGACAAACAACTTGATTACATTCGATTCAACTTTAATAGCTGCAAATATGACATTTTATGTGTACAAGAGAAATAAATTTGGAAACGCTGGCTGACGAAATTCTACTCTATGTATTTGAATTTCTCAATACGACTCATCTTATTCGTTCTTTTCATGATCTTAATATTTGTTTCAACATTCTTTTTTTCGACCATTTCCTGAAGAATGGCCTTAACTTTAAATCCATAGAGCATGCCATTAGTTAGAAGTCGTCAGGCTGTGGTGTGGGTGTAGATAATATGAATAGTTCAACATACACCCATACTCACATCTTCCTTTCCTTGTTTGTTTTCCGTGTCATGATTGCAATTAAAAAAAAGAAATAAGAAAAAGAAAAGGAGTGACAACTTGCTTTTTTCGGTTTTTTACCATTTTGACATGAAAAACTTATTTCAACAAGAATTGATCTTACTCCCTTTGATTCTATCTTCAGACTACTTCTTCTAATTTTGTTCCTACACTTTGTCAAGAAAAAAATATCTTACCCAAAGTCACCGCCGATCAGAAACTTTATTACAACATGCTAATAGTCAGTGAGCACAATCGTAGGAAGTAATGGACATGGTGCGCAAGGAGGACGAGGCTTCGAAGCACACACACAACATAACAAGTATGAACGCAACAACACCAACAAGCCTATCTCCGCCAAGAAGTCGCTCTTTGAGTAGTGAAAGAACAGCGTCGAGTAAACGAAGGAAGAAGGAGCCTGTAGTAGACAGGGACGCAGCGCCGAAGAGCCCGAAGGAGAACGTAACCAGGGACATGATCCCAAGCACATTTGCATCGAATAATGAAGATTCAGTAGAAGATGCAGTTACAACTAAGAAAAAAATGGTGTGGAACGATAAATGGTAACTAGGAAGTTATTTGAAAACTGACTTCTGTTCTATTACTGATATATAGATTCGAATTCAAAAAGGCACCAAAGTTGGAAGAAACAAAGATAGATACTCAGTCAACGTTGAAATGGTGTCCCAACTTCATATCTAAGGAGGAGGCTGATGCTCTGTTCGATCACTTGATGGAAGGTACTTCTTAATACAACGAGAAAAAAACAGCAATTTTACTGATCTTTATTCGTTTTTAGAGTTGAATTTCGAGCACACTGCAATTACTATGTATGGGAAACCTGTCAGCTTGGTAAGCAAGTGAGAAGTGAAGGAAAGAGAGAGAAAGAATATACAAGAGCAGTTATTGAAATTTCTATCACTTTTATATTTAAATTGTAGCCTCGTCTTCAATCGTGGTTCGCAGAAGAGGGATTGGTTGTAAAGGAGCTATTTCAGAAGCAGAAGCAGCACGTTTGGACTGCACCGATGCTTAAGCTGAAAGCTCAACTCGAGAATCAGCTCGGTAAGTACAAATTTGAAATAGCGAAAAGGAAAAGGAAGAGAAAATTAGAAAGAAGGCCATTATTAATGCTTTTTTTTTGTAGATGTCAAATTTGATTATTGTTTGGTCAATTTATACAGGGACGGAAACGACCACATCAATTTTCATGCTGACAACGAGGCAAAAGATATCATCGCTTCCATGACATTAGGTGCTACACGCAGGTACATTTTTTCTCTCTTTTCGCTACTTCCTTTAGTTCTATAGTTTTCAATTTGTATGTTGCTAATAAGTATCATTTTCAGGTTTGTCATACGACATCTCAGTTGTTTTGGTAAAGTCCTAACACGAAAGAGAAAGCCTTTGACGACGCCCGACAAGAAAGAGGTAATTTAGTTTAATCCTTCTTTTCTCCTCGTCTTATGATTCCTCGTGACTTTTCTACCTTTTTCTCTTTGAACTCACTTTTGACTTTTCTCTCTCTCTCTTTTCCAGTACGAGTTTTCGCTGACGAACGGATCACTCATTGTGATATTAGGTGATATGCAACAGTATTGGAAGCATTCGGTGCCGAAAGAGAAGATGGTAAAATATCCTCGCATCAATCTCACGTTCCGCACCATGCAAGACAAATAAAAGTGGAAGGAGAATTTTCTGCATTTGTTTCTGCATGTTATTATTTTTTTCTTTTAAATAAATAAATAATTTTTGTAATGCTAAGATTTTTGTACTATCTTTGCGCTACAAAAGCTTTTATTACATTCTAAAACAAATAAGTTCAGTACCGAATCTTAAAAGTCTCATATTCTTGCAGCAAACGACTAACAGTTTAGTGAACTGAAAATAGCTTCATCATTATCTTACAGATCATTTTTAAGTTCAGCAGATTTCATAAGAGTTGGGCAACTTTTCGATTAGTGACAAAAATGAATATTATAAGCGGAACCCAGACTTTCAGGTTCAAAATGATTGTTTTCAGAAGATGATCCTTAAATTACGAGACAACACTATCCTATGGAAATAAAAGTCAACAATCAATGCAACAACAAGATATCTGCAGAAAAACTGCCGTGAAATAATGAAATAATAATTTTAGATATGAGAAAAATTCTTGCAACAATTATTACTTTTATGCATACGCGATCTGTGGAAAACAGGATATGAGTGTTGGTGAGAATGTAAGACTTTTTCATGTTACTTCAACCATATCCCACCTTTAATCAATGCTTCGAAACACCGCAAAATAGAAAGTGTCAAAAATCAACTATCATTTTCCAATGTCTAACGAGGCAACTTTTCCAAGTGATCCATTTCGTTTGCTTCCATGTTTTGCCAACATGTAGGAGATTACTAGAGTAGCATAACCTCTAAAGATTTATGTTCTTCTTTAGATTTGGTTGAAGTATCGACTTTCTAGTAGATTCATCCTGCACGAGCCCAGTAGTTTTTGAAAAAAATCATATTTAAGAATTTCAGCCTGAAGTTTTCTACACATAAAGGACTCGATTTGACTATTTCATAGGCAAAGTTTCATCAGTTTTATGTATCACATTCTTTAGATGTAGATTTTTTAACATATCTACGTGTTTCTTTAAGTGCTATGTAAGATACGAACACTTTGAGAAATTCATATCTTAACAATGCGATGTTCAAAACTTATGCAACTTTGTATAAGAAACACTCTAATCAAGACTTTTATGTGTGCAAAATTTTAAAAAATCTAGGCTAGAGCAGAAAAATTTGGAGGTTATATTAATCTAATGATTCCCTACATGTGAGTAAAATATGAAGGNCATTGGCTATAATTCAACACAATCCATTACAATTTATCAGAGATAACTAGAATGCAATAGAAATCATCATGTATTACAATAATATCAAACCGATCGAGGAAGCGTAAATCTTGATGGATCCAAAAAATGCGCAGAATCCATGATGATATGCCAAAATTTACCAAGACAATCATCTCGGTATCCTGGATCTTTTTTTCTCTTTACTTAGTTACAAATTCTGAAGTCACTATTCCTTTTTCTCACTTAATTTATTTGGATCTTAAAGAATTCTCATATCCATTAAGATCAACTTTTCCATCCTCGTTTCTGTACGCTTGAAATAATTTATTCTACAATTCATCAGGTTCCGTCGGGATCCACTATGATCCACTAGGATCTATCAGGATATACCAGGATCCGCTTTTTCCCCCTTGAATATATTCATATAAAAAATGCTGAGCAGCTCACTTCATAACTCGATAAGATTTCTGATTCATTTTAATAATGAAATCATAAATTAAGGTTGAATTTTTAAAAGTTTTTTCATGAACGAACTATTTAACCATCAGTATTTTAATAGTAATAATTTGTTTCTTCTAGGGAAAAACTGAATATTTAATTAAATGGAAAGGATGGGCTACTAAGTAAATTATTCAATTATTTTCTTTTTCTTTTACTTAATCAATAATTTATTATTTTAGATGGAATACTTGGGAACCTGAAAAACATATTTTAGATAAATTACTTATCGCAGATTTTAATAACAGGTAAATAAAATTTAAAAACAAACAACGAAGATTAATATGGTTTTTTTGTGATTATAAATTTTTTTTTATAGAAATCGAAAACGTCAGAAAAGTAAACTTTTAGTTCGTAATAGTGTAAATAAAAGTCAAACAACGATAAAAACTCGTCTAAATACTTCCGTACGAACACGTCGTCTACGTAGTTCAACATCATCAGATATATCAACATCAGCTATTGTTTCTCCAACAACAAATGATGAAAATAATGATGATGATGATTCTTTATCAAAGAAAAAATTCGACAATGATCGAGTTGAAGTTTATAAACTTCGATCAAGTCGAACTGAAAAAATTGAATCAATTGAAAAAGATATATCTGACTCATCAAAAGAATCTGATCATGATAAAGAAGAAGAAGAAAAACAAGAACAAGAAACAATAATTATTAGTGAAAAACCAAAACTAGATGAATCTATACGAGAATTTTTATGGCAACCAACTAAAATTTCAACATCAACAACAACAACAACAATAACGGAAGTAACTGATCAAAGTGGTGTAACAGTTTTAATTCGAGAATTAAATGATATTCCAACATCAAATATAAATAGACCAACACGTTTTCTTGGATATGGAAATGGAGGTCGTGGTGGAAGACATTGAAAATAAATTATTGTCAATTTTTTGTTTTACCGGTATTTTTAATATGTTTCTGTTTAAAAATCGATTCTTTTTCTCATTTTCTGTGTATATGTTTAATATATGTGTGTCTGCGTGTAGAGAAAAAAAACGGCAGTGACAGTCATCAGGATTGTTTTTTTTTCATCTTTTGTCTTTTAGTATATAAACTAGAATCTCTGTCTTTTTAACACAATAATTTTGTGGATTTATTAAATTGATTCTTTATTAAAATTGATAAAGTAAATTCATTGTTTTTAAATTAAACATTGTTTTGAACAATGAAAAAACTTAGTTAATTATGTAAATTTTCCAAAAACAAAAACAAAATAAAAGAAAAAAAGAATAAAGCTTTCTTAAAATTTGTTTCATCTTATTTATACGTCCCATATAAGTACTAGATGAAAGTTATTTAATCAGAATATTTTTAAACGAATTAAAAACAAGAATTTTCTTTCGTTTAAGTAAGAGAGTGGTACATTTGAAAGATAAAATCAGTAGTTATGAGCGATAATAAAGCCATCTTTCTAAAGATTAAATTTTCTAATGTAACACTATTATTATAGGTCTTCTAGTCTTACAATAACTCTAATCTGAGCAATTCGAGAAGGATATAGATGCATATTGGTGTAAGTGTGAAAATTGGTCTTTCTACATCTTTCAGAGTAGGGCATGAATAATTATACTATAAGAATTCAAATGTCTTCCTTTCGGATCAAAAAATGGGTAACTGTTTTTTTTATGAGAGATATCTATTTAAAGTTTATTTCCTATACGGAGAAAATAAAAAAGAAATACCTGTTTGAAATATTATCATTATTGTCTGGAATAAAAATATGTAATCTGTTTTTCAATTAGGACCTGTCGAATCCGAAATCTTTTGGTTTGAACCCGAGCGAATAATCGTAGTTTGATATTTCCAATGATTTTTTTTAATCGTAATTGGATAGTAGTCCCGAAGACACGACATACTTTTTCCTGTTTTTTTGTATTTGGTGATCAGCACACCCTAAACTAGAGCTCGTTAGGTACAATATTTTCGAACTTGAATCCGAACGGATCCGTTACTAATTCGACCGACAGATTGCATTGACAAGAAAAATACATGTGGAATAAACCATTAAATAACATTCAGTTTTAGAGAAAATCAAAATAAAGCTTATCAATAATATTATATTGATTTATAGAGCAACATTTGAGAATCAGTTCGTGTAGAAGACAATGAGTAGAATATTTCTAATTTTAAACATGGAATATTGAATTTAGCAAGAAAAATGATGAATCCGTGTTTCGAAGTCTTGATTATGTATGCAAATCATTGAACACGAATTTCTCAGAGTGTGCTCTATATAAATTGATATGATATCATTAATAAGCATTATTTTGATTTTCTCTAACAACAGATTATATTTCTTGACTCAAGCCAATAATGATATTTCAAAGGAGGATTTGTTTATTTTATTATCGATATGGAACACAAAACTTTGCATAGCTATATATCTATTATTAATAAGAAAAAATCTGTCAGTTCGAGTGACTTGAAGTATAGAGATCTCAATTTTTTGTAATATAATTATGTATGACTTCGCCTATACAAGTCAAAAAGGATAAACTAGTTGATTTTTTTTATTTTTATAGTATGAAAAATTTTTTGAAGAATTTCTTTCGTTAAGAGAAGTTTTTTATTTCGACAATGAATTCAGCATTTTTAATGAAACACTCGAAATAAGTCTTTTGGGTACATTAATAATCACTTGGAGTCCTCAAAATCAATTATTTCTTCATTAAATCTTGTCATGAATTACATCTAAGTTTCTCTAAAAGAACAAAACACGTATTATTCAAAAGTGTCTAATTGACTCAACCGTATCACTCATCTAACGAGATGATTGAGTCAACTAGAATAAAAAAATTCAATGAATATTCTAATTGAAATTAAAAAAAGCGTCTGATTTTAATCGTTCTTTCGTAAACTTTAAAATACAATGTTTAATTTGACTCTTTTAGATGCTTGAAGAATTACCAAACGAAACACTTCTTCAAATATTTTCTTATCTTGAATTAACTGATCTTTATCAAATATTTTCATCACTTAACTATCGATTTGAATGTTTATTATACAATAAATATACGTCGTTATATGCTCGTTTAATATCAAAAGTAACATTACCATTAGATAAATTTCTTTTTCGAATAAGTAAACTTTCATTAATAAATTGGTCTCCAAATGATGTTTCATCATTACTTGAATATTCAGATTTACCTCGACTTAATTATTTAAATATAGAATCAACAAATAATGATTATTTTGGTCAACCAACCAATAATTTAATTCATAAAATTCTTTTTCTATCAAAGTTATTTAAATTTCAAATAGAATTATCACCAACACTTTATATACTTGATAATGAATTACCAATATCACAATCGATTAAACATATGAAATTAAGTATGATAACACTTGATATGTTATTTAATCTTTTAAAACATGTACCTAATCTTTGTTCATTAAATGTTTGGCTTAATTCCAATGGAAGAATATTTGATAGTCGAACTTATAATGGATATCATTGTTTAAGTTTAAAAAAATTAACTATTGGACTTCATAATGATATTAAATTTGAAGAAGTTTTGTTTTTATTACAACATATGCCTATATTACATTCATTGGAAATAAGTGGATCTGTATGGGATCGTGGATATTTGTCTGAACAACAATGGAAAAATATTCTTTTAGGTGAAAATTTATTTCCATTATTAAATAAAATTAAAATAAATATTTATATTCGTTACACAGCTAATGTACAAAATATTAAAATGATTTTAGCACAATTTAATCAAGATATTTTTCATCGAACTAATTTTGTAGTTACTCATGATTATATGTTTTGGTTTTATTTAACTTGTTTTTGGAATACTTGAGTTTAGTGTCACTACTGACTCTACTCAACAGAATGCCTCAAAAGTCATATCAGCAAAGTAAACTCACAAGTGAATCGTTTCTGTAAAGAGTATAAACACTTCATGAAGAAACATTTTCACCGTAAGTTTTAAATCAAGATTTTCCCCACTCTCTTATCCACTTACTCATAAGTCAATAATTTCAAAAAAGAAACAGTTCTTCCTTGATATAAACAAATATTCAATTCCCTCACAAAGTAGATATTTATGTTGTCAATTAATAAGATTAGACACACTTGGGTTAAATTAAAGTTCTCACCATCAAACTAACAAATCTAAAAAATAAACTACTGTTGGCATACCTCGATCGAGATATTCGAATTTAAAGGTATTTGCAGTGTATATCATGTAATGTACAAATGAAAATTTTAGCAGAACGTTTTTTTTTCTTTTTTCGCATATTTGGATAGAATTCGTTAAGTTGGATGAAAAGAAATGTTTCAAATAAAAGAAAAAAAAAATTTTACGAAAAAGTCTAAGATACCGTTATTATTAAATTCAAGAAGAAATATATTCAAATTTTTTTTTTTTTTTTTTTTATTTGTGAGTACGTTATACACACTGTAAATGCCTTAAAGCTCGAATATCTTGGCTTAGAAACATCAACACCAGTCTATATTTTAAAATTGTTAGTTTAGTGATGAGTTTTAACTTGGCGCGAATATGTCTAACTATATTACCTTATAATACAACCAGTCCCATTGTAAGTAGGAAAGATTTTGGACCAAAAATATGAGAAATAATATTATAACAGCATCGCAGACTTTTCTACTGTTCATAACAATTTTTGAAAGTATTTCATAGACTTTGAAAATACGTATAGCAGATTAATGTAATAGAAAAATCCTTGAAATCGAAATAAGAGATAAAACATGCACACATAATTATGAGAGAAATACAAGTAGAAGATCAAGATAATAACTAAAGAGAAGAGTATATTTCAGCTACTGAAATAAGAATAGCAGACGTTTCATAGAGGGCACAATTTAGATTATAAAAGCTTGTACAATAGTAGAAAGTTCAATACGTTTTATGAATTCGAAATTATAGATTTATTGGTAAAAGAGCTGATAAATATTTTTATATAATACAGTTCTCGATATCTTGATTCATGAGAATAATGCTCGATGTGGATTTTGATTTCTATAATTTGCTTGAAACTATTATTATTGATTTAAAGATAAAAATTTATATTCTTTCGTTCTTTGTTTCGAATATTCTTTTTCTAATCATTGAAATATTCTTAAAATATAGGTCAATTGTATAAATTATACCGTTATTTTATTTGATTTACTAAAGTTTCTTTTTATTGTGATATATCAAAATAATAGATAAAAAATTTGAAATGCTTTAATATGTGTGTTTTCATTTTTCTACTATGATTCTAATTGAATTAATCTTATTTTTATATTTAGTATCGTAAAGACCATACTAGAATGACAATTTTTCTTTATTTAGAACAGATAATACAGAAAACATCTGCATCTGAAACTAGACGCATTCATATAATAAACAGTTTCGGATTTTTAAAATGGGTAAAAACTGGTTCATGTTGATAGTACGAAAGTTAAAAAGTATTCATTCAATTAGAATTTATTAAACGTATAATTATGTGAATTTAGTGTTAGTATGATGACTTTTGTGACATTCTGTAAATCTATCCGAAAAAAAGGAAAAATACATTTTTATATACATTTTAGTTTTCAACATCATAATATTGATTTTTTTTTATAATAAAATCATTTATATTACAGATTTGCTTTTAATAAAAAGTAATTTGTTTTGAAATTAACTAGATACGCCTTATATTTTTAGATTAATCAATAATTTTAAAATTTTAGAATATAAATATCTTTGTGCATCTTCTATTCGATTATTTTCACCGAGATTTTCATAATATAACACATATGAAAATGAGAACCTTTCTCTCTATTCATATTCACAGTATATTGTTCTTACTCTTGTTAAATATTTAATAGTTGTAAGAAATAATATACATTCGTTCAACTATAAATCATGAATTA